ACGAATAGCCAAGGCAATACTCAGTCAAAAGAACAATGCAGGTGGTATCACAATACCTGACTTCAAACTATATTACAAAGCAATAACAATAAAAACAGCATGGTACTGGCACAAAAACAGACATGAAGACCAGTGGAACAGAATAGAGGACCCAGATATGAAGCCACACAACTATAAGCAACTTACCTTTGACAAAGGAGCTAAAAATATACGATGGAGAAATAGCAGCCTCTTCAACAAAAACTGCTGGGAAAACTGGTTAGCAGTCTGCAAAAAACTGAAACTAGATCCATGTATATCACCCTACACCAAGATTAACTCAAAATGGATCAAGGATCTTAATATCAGACCCCAAACTCTATAAAGAGTAGGAAATCCTCTGGAATTAATAGGTATAGTAAGAACTTTCTCAATGAAACCCCAGCAGCACAGCAACTAAGAGATAGCATAGATAAATGGGACCTCATAAAAATAAAAAGCTTCTGTTCATCAAAAGAAATGGTCTCTAAACTGAAGAGAACACCCACAGAGTGGGAGAAAATATTTGCCAACTATACATCAGACAAAGGACTGATAACCAGAATATACAGGGAACTTAAAAAACTAAATTCTCCCAAAACTAATGAACCAATAAAGAAATGGGCAAGTGAACTAAACAGAACTTTCTCAAAAGAAGAAATTCAAATGGCCAGAAAACACATGAAAAAATGCTCACCATCTCTAGCAATAAAGGAAATGCAAATTAAAACCACGCTAAGATTCCACCTCACCCCTGTTAGAATAGCCATCATCAGCAACACCACCAACAACAGGTGTTGGCGAGGATGCGGGGAAAAAGGAACCCTCTTACACTGTTGGTGGGAATGTAGACTAGTACAACCACTCTGGAAAAAAATTTGGAGGCTACTTAAAAAGCTGGACATCGATCTACCATTTGATCCAGCAATACCACTCTTGGGGATATACCCAAAAGACTGTTACTCCAGAGGCACCTGCACATCCATGTTTATTGCGGCACTATTCACAATAGCCAAGTTATGGAAACAGCCAAGATGCCCCACCACTGACGAATGGATTAAGAAAATGTGGTATCTATACACAATGGAATTTTATGCAGCCATGAAGAAGAACGAAATGTTATCATTCGCTGGTAAATGGATGGAATTGGAGAACATCATTCTGAGTGAGGTTAGCCTGGCCCAAAAGACCAAAAATCGTATGTTCTCCCTCATATGTGGACATTAGATCAAGGGCAAACACAACAAGGGGATTGGACTATGAACACATGATAAAAGCGAGAGCACACAAGGAAGGGGTGAGGATAGGTAAGACACCTAAAAAACTAGCTAGCATTTGTTGCCCTTAACGCAGAGAAACTAAAGCAGATACCTTGAAGCAACTGAGGCCAACAGGAAAAGGGGACCAGGAACTAGAGAAAAGGTTAGATCAAAAAGAATTAACCTAGAAGGTAACACACACGCACAGGAAATCAATGTGAGTCAATGCCCTGTATAGCTATCCTTATCTCACCCAGCAAAAACCCTTGTTCCTTCCTATTATGGCTTATACTCTCTCTACAACAAAATTAGAAATAAGGGCAAAATAGTTTCTGCTGGGTATTGAGGGGGGGAAGAGGGAGGGGGCGGAGTGGGTGGTAAGGGAGGGGGTGGGGGCAGGGGGGAGAAATGAACCAAGCCTTGTATGCACATATGAATAATAAAAGAAAAATGAAAAAAAAACGATAACTTGCATTAAAAACCTTAATTCTTGCTGGGTGACAGTGGCTCATGTCTATAATCCTAGCTACTCAGGAGGAACGTGGTTCAGAGCAAATAGTTCTGCAAGACCCCATCTCAAAAACAAACCCTTCCCAAAAAGGGCTGGTGGAGTGGCTTAATGTGTAGGCCGAGTTCAAGCCCCAGTACCACAAAAAAATCAATCAATCAATCAATAAAAAGATGTAATTGTAAAAAATATTTTCTTCAGTTACTTATCTTTTATTTGGTTAGCAGAGTAGAGGTACCAAAAAGTAGGCTTAATTAGATTCACTACTAAAGAAATAGAATGCATCAATAAAACTATTTAATTAAATCAGTTTCAAAAAGAATTAGGTTTCATTTTCCAAAATTACAGTAGGAATTAGTCCAATGTCATAGCTTTCTGTTTTTTTTCCCTAAAATCTAATGTTTGAGTTTGTTCTGGGATAAGATTACTTGATCACTCATTTAATATTACTAAAGATGTCTTCTTAACCTCCAAAGACTGAATTGCTGCAAGGCTCAGTTCTTGGCTGTCTTCTCTCTACACTTACTCCTATTGTATGGGATTAAATACTACCTATTTTTCAGGCTCTAGGAGCTCAACGTTTCCATATCCATCTGCTGACTGAACATACTTACTTGGACGAATGCAAGCCTAAAAACACAACTGTAGACCTGCTCCTCCCATCTTCAACTCAGCAAACCTCATCACCCTTCTCCATGAATTACTCTTGACTTTTCTTCCTCCTCCATTCCCCACACAAATGCACTTCACCATGTCCTCTTAGCTCTACCTATAAATGTATCACCAATCCTACCACTTTAGACACCTCCACCCCTACAATATAGTCTGAATCACATCTGCTTTTGCAATAGCTTTCTGCTCAGTCTCTTGGTTTGCTTTCTTAGCCTCTGCCTCACACAGTTCTCAACATAGCATGGAGGTAATCTATGAAACAAAATGACACCTAATTTCTCCTCTGTCTTCCCATGAAACTCAGAACAAAATGCATGCAAACTTCTTCCCAGAAGCACCAGGCAACTTGATTATATGTTAATTGTTTACTCTAGAATGTAAGTTATACAAAGCAAGAGACTTTTGACTGTTCCACCACTACATTCCCAATACCTACCAAATGAATGAATCTTCCTTTATCAGTGAAAATTCTAGTTTTGATGAGCAGTATGAGGCCCTTACCTATTACAATGAAATTATGAAACAAGGACTTAATTTTGTACCAGCATGTCAACCCAGTAACAACCCATCAAAATATGAGCTGGGACTTCATCTTCTACAGTAGCTTTGGATTATTCTTCTTTTGTTGGAGGTGCTAGAGGTATAAACTACATTTGAGTAAGTTTCATATCATGACAAAAATGTCTCATGCTTTGTGATTACTGCTCCATTTGTGCAGCCTTCAATACATGGAAACCACCTGTAATGAGTGTTTATGTGTAAAAGCCAAATGAGAAATGAGAGCAAAGTATACCATCTATTTTATTAGTCCATAGATCATCTGCCTTATAAACAACCTGAATACAGCCAGGTACTGGTGGCTCATGCCTATAATCCTAGCAACTTAAGGATAGTGGTTCGAGGCCAGCCTGGGCTGATAGCTTTGAGACACTATCTCCAAAATAACCATACCAAAATGGGCTGGAGGTGTGGCTCAAGTGGTAGAGTTCCTGTTTTGCAAATGCAAAGTCCTTTAGAAGACCCCCTAAAAGACAACCACCCCCAACAAAAAAAAAGACAAATCCAGAAATTCATTTCTCACAATTCCAGAGGTTGCAAACTCCAAGATCAAGATGCCCATAGATTTGCCCACAGATTGGTGAGAGCCAGCTTCTTTCAAGACAGCCATCTTCTCACTCACCTCAATGCAGCAGAAGGAGGAGCCCTCTTTTATAGGGGTACTAATCCCACTAATGAGGGCTCTGTGTCTCATGATCTAATCACCTCTTAAAGGCCCCAGCTCCTAATACCATCACCTTGGGGGTAAGCATTGAAATAATTGAATGGGAGAGGGCATAACATTCAGATCATGGCAGTGAGGAATATCAAAAATCTTGGTTATAGTTCTAAAATATGATACTTGAAGATCAGCAGAGTGCAAGAGGGTCTTACCTGTCTTGCTAAGGATTCCACAAATAGTAGGCAACTGTGCTATCTTTTGCTCATATTTTCATTTTAGAAAGCTTACTGTGGTAAAGATGGAGAATGGTGAAAGGGTGGGGTGGAAAGGTAACAAACAACCAGACTGAAGATAAGAGACCAGTTTGGGAGGACACAGAAGCAATACAGCCAAAAACCTATCGGTGGGGTCATCAGGAACATGTCCCCTTTGCATAGCCTGAGCTGTGCAGCTATGAGGCCTCCTTGCCTTTCTTACTCCAGGGCAGTGTGAGTGTCTGAGTTTGACACACCAGCAGTGATTCTGCAGACACTTATTTCTGAAGATCTCTGTGTTCCCTGCTAATGAATTCTCATCCCTGATCCATTTGAAACCTTGTTAACAGTAGCCTGGAATGAAGTTATTACTGTATCACCCATCATGTAGTGTTAACTTCAGAAGACTTCACATAATCTGAGTAAGAGGTAGTTCACTGATGGCAAGTACCATTTTAGAACGGTGGTGGCAATGGTAGTGTGCAAGGGGACATGCTGCATTGTTCTATTGTGCTTTTAACACACAGTCATCTCTTTTTTCAAGATAGGTAAAGAATACTTCTTTTCAAAAGTTTATGCCCATTAGTGGACTGCTCCAACCATTCATGAACCCAGAAGGCAGATGACATAAATCATTCCTTGGCCTAGGATATCTTGTCTTTAAGTAATCCCATTTCTTTCTTTTTTTTTTTTCAGTACAGGGGTTTAAACTCAGGGCCTCACACTTGCTAGGCAGGTGCTCTACAACTTGAGCTACTCCACCAACCCAATCCATTTCTTTAAAAGGAAATCATTACTAAGAACTCCCAATGTTGAGTGTGGAAACATCTAAACACTTCTCTAACCTTTTCTACTCTTGCAGTTGTTCCAACTAGTGCCTTACAATCTTATGGAATACTGGTCATTAGTTTTAAATAAGATTGCTTTAACATTTAGTTTTAGTAATGTATCCCCAGTAAGGGAAGTCTCATGCCTTACCTTTTATTAAGAATAAAATACTTTTGTCAAAAAAAAAAAGAAAGAAAGAAAGAAAAGAAAAGAAAAAGAGAAAAGAAAACCATGACTGGGGGTTAAGTGAACATAATATCTATTTTTATTATGAAAACATTAAACTTTGACACACTGCTTCATTTGCTTTTTAAAAATCTATTATCTTACTTAAACCTATTCAGCAAAAATGCCAATAAATTATATAAATCATAGTGGGTCTTTTTAAAACTAGTGACATGTCTTGTGATAACACTAGATCCGAGTTATATGAACTGTTAACTTGTAATTTGTTTTTTCATGTTTAACTTAAAATAAAGAGAAAACCAACCACATTACAAGTTTCTTAGAATTGCCTTCCACATCACTGTGTCAGTATGCCACTTCTTTACATAGGTACAGAACACAACCCTAGTGGATGTAAAGGCACTCACTCTACATTGGCCCATCCTGCTCTTCTTGGGAGTCACACTGATGGAGGGCTGATGACATAACATTATCCCCCAGTGTGGGTCATCTTGCTTTTAAATGAACTCCCTTCTTTAACAGGAAATCACCAGCTAAGAACTCAAATGCTGAATTTAGAAACAATGATTCCAATCAATACACATTAACTGTGTTAGTACTAAAAGTCATGAATTCTGAACAGTAAACCAACAAACTAAGAAGGCAAACAGCATTGCTACCACAATTAAAATGGTGCACTTTTAATGTCTCATACTCTTTGCAAATTATATTTTTCAGCAGTTCAGATGAATTTAAATAAAACACATGTGTTCCACATAAAGTAGGGGTTTTAGAGTTTTCAACATGGGTGGCAACGTTAAAACAAAAATACATCAAAAGTCTTATTAGTGAATGCTTCCACTTGGTTTCTAAATCTTTATTTTCTGTGGAGGCAAACCAAAGCACTGTCTTGAAATTTCATCTTCAAGTTAACAACATAATCTCTATCATTCCTAGAGAGTTTAAAGTTAGATATGATCCTGGTCAAGGCCATAATCTTCATTTTCATCATCCTCATCTTCTTGGTCTCCGGATTCAAGTTCATCCTCTTCTTTAACCTAAACAGAAAATATCAATTTAGCTTTGTGAAGATTTGTTCATTTCACACTGACATGGAATAATAACCATGATAAATGTATACCTATCATATACATGTTGACAAGTTTATGTTCTGGTAATTACAACAGAATCTGGTTACCTTGATTTAATATTCAAGGCTCCTTGTTATTTTTAATATGAATGAGCTCTATTAATCAGTTATGTGATGAATGGTTGTACCTCTCTACACACAAATCTGAACCAAACATGGTAAAGACAATGGCACACTTGGGTGGTAGGAGTCTTGCTACCACAGAAGCCATCAAATCAACCCACATTCTGGGCTCAAAGTCCAAAAGACAACAGTCTACAAATGCTGAAATATAATTTAACCACTGAACAGTAAAGAAGTATAGACAGTACCATATTCATGAGCTCACATATCTATGCCCATAGGTACAACTTTTCCATGCTACATTAAATTTTAAAATGTGCCTTAAGAGTCATTTTTGGAAACATTTCAATCTTACTGGATGGCCAAGATCCTTGAGCTTATTCTTCAATGACAATATTTTCTGATCTTGATCAGCCAACAGCACCAAAAGATCATCTTGTTCTTTTTTAGAATCTGTGATTTCCAACTCCAGCTTGTCTTTCTCATTTTGTAAAATGGCGATGGTACTGTTAGATGAATCCAGCTGCTCTTTAATGGCAGTTCTTTCCTCTGAAAGAGCTTTAATTTCATTCTAGGAACAGAAAAGTGAAAGTCAGTAATTTTGGGGGGGAGAGAAGGGGAGCAGTGGAAATAATACTGGGGTTTGAACTCAGGGCCTTGACCACTTGAGCCAAGCACTCAACCCAGTAATTTTAAATTAGTACTCACTCCCCTAGAGTTTCTAACAAAGTTTCTTTCTATAACAAATCACTTTACTTATTTAATTTGAGGTGTTCGGGTATGGGAGTTGAAGGCACACATGTTTTAAAATACATATACATCTAGTAACTTGATAATTTGTTAGACTATTCAGCAAAGATGGATATTGTGAAAAATGGAGTACAGCATCCAAAAATTAGTTTCAGCTATTTCTCAAACAATCCTGAGATTCAAAAATACAAATTATTTCAGAGAAACAGAGAATTAGAACTCAAAGTTCAAATTAGCAGGAAAAAATCCCAACTGCACATATAGTGAAGAGGTTTCACATAAAATCATGGTTTAAAAATAAAGTAATTTGACCATAATCCAAAAAGCATAATTGTACATTGTCTTCCTTTTTCTCTTTATTACTTTTTGTTTTTCGTTAATGTCACCTTATTGTTTTCTTCATGGATTTTATTCTGAAGTCTCTGTCACAAAATAATCTGGCAGAATTTAATGTTTCTGTGTTCCTCAATCTTATGGGAAGCCTACAGGTGGCTGGGTATTAGCCAAATATGTATTCCTTGTTTTATTATTGTGATTAGATACTGATGTTAAGAAAAAAGTATTTTCACTGAATTTCGCTTTCATAGTATGCATTTAACTTTTTTTTGTAGTGATGGGCTACAATCTGGGGTTTCACCGTAGGCAAGTGCTATACTGTGGAGCTACACTCCCATTCCTATAAATTCTTATTTTATCTATTCAGTACCATTATTTGAAATGGCTTGAAAAACTTCCCTTGTGTCTTTAGTCACCAAAATAGGAATGGAAATGTGAGATATAACTACACCCCCATCCATCATAGCTTTCTTTATAAATCTAAGAATCTGAGAGATTAATGCGATTAAAATCAAATTTCCTGGAGTTCATCTCTTATTATATACGATAAAATTTTCACCAAGCCAGGAGCTGGGGAAAAAGAAAGTTTCACCAAAAACCAACCTTTAATTCTTTAGTTTCTTGTAGTAATGCAGATAGTCTTCCTTCCACATCAGTGGTTTTAGCAGTGATTACATTCTCACTCTCTCCTTGTACAGGAACTGATTTTGCCTAAAAGCAGAAATTGGGGAAAAAAATATTTCTTTAAAGGTACAAATAACATTTGTAACTTTCAAAGTAGTGGATTAATCTTCTTGGTGTTTTGAAATTTCATCTCCAGTAACAAAAAGCATAACTCCTATGTACTTATGTGTAAGAAAGTGCTCTCCACTGGCAGAAGAGCTGTCCCCACAGTGGAGAAGCCTCAAATCTTATCAGAATTTGAGGAAGGCTGGGATAAGCTGCTTCAAAGTCAGCCCAGAGAAATAATCAACAAGGCACCTCCAACACAGCTGTAACAGTATCTAGTAAGCAGAGATTACTTTTAATTCTTTTCTCATAAACTGACTGTAAGTTAAGTCCACACTATCATTTCAGATAGGTAAATAAATTGAGCCAAATGCCATGAATTGATGAAATATAATAGTACCTCCTAAGTGCCATGGGAGGTACTATTAAATCTAAGTTTTTCAGTCTTTACCTTTCTTTTCCTTTTCTCTACAAAATATCAGGAAGTAGGTTGCTAATAAATACCTAAAAATGTAGAAGTGGCTTTGGAACTGGTATAATGGTAATAGAATTGAGTTCTGAGGTTCATGTTAGGCAAAGCCTAACTTACTTCAGAGACTGTTGGTAGAAATATGAACATAAAAGGCAATTCTGGTGAGGACTCAGAATGAAAAGACAGGAGTTGTAAAGAAAGTTTCTATGGTCATAGGGACAAACATATACCATCATGAAGAGAGTATTTTAGAGCTACGAAAGTAAAAGGTGCTTCTGGTGAGAGGTCACAGAAGAAAATGAAAAACTTGTTATTAGAAATTAGAGGAAAGGCAATCTTTGTTATAAAGTGGCAAAGAACTTAGTGGAATTGTGTTTTGTTAGTTTGTCAAATGTAGAACTTTATTTACTTTTTTTTTTTTTGAGAGTGTGTCTTGCTATGTTATCCAGGTTAGCCTCAAACTCACAACTGCCACCACACTTAGCTTGAGATTTCTAAGCAAAGTATAAAGTACAGCCTCATTTCTCCTTGCTGCTTACAGTAAAATGTTAAGACGTAACAAATTGATAAAGGAATAATTAAACAAAAAGGAATCAGAACTTGAAGATTTTGAAAATTTTCAGCCTATACATATTGCAAAAAAAATGAGAAAGTGTTCTGGAGAAAACATCAAGGGTATGGGAAATTATGTATAAAATGATTACGTGTGTGACTCACGGATCCAATCAAGCAGCTCAGTAAAAGATGAATCAGTGATGAAATTATCCAGTAAGTACCTGTGGAGAACTTTCTTATCTGATGGCTTGGAATTGCACGGGAGGCCAACAGATATCTGATTATTTGGACAGCAGAAAAGGAATCAGTTTGGACCAAAAGGGACAGTCACAGTATGCAACAACAGCAAAATAAACCGGTAACTGAATACACTGACTTGGAGAATATGACTACAAAATGGCTGTCACCATGGCCAGGAATCTTATGTCACTAAGACTCTGGCTGGTGAGTAATCTAAAGAGAAGGTGGATAGCTGATGAATCTTTTTTTTTTTTTAATTGCAGCAGAGATATAACATACTAACCCTGTGCTTACTACCTTTCAGAAAGATAAAAAGACAAAACTTACAAATGCTTCTGTTTTCTGTAACAGCTCATGCTTTTCTGACTGTAGTCTGCTGATCTCTACAGATTGTGAGTTTAGCTGAGACTTTAATGTTGCCAGTTCCTAAGAGATAAAAATAGGTGAGTTGTAACATTAAATAGTTTTAATTTCATCAAGTAAATGTCTATTTACAGGACCCTATCCTTTAAAATTGTAGCTTCCAAGTTTTAAAATCTAACTCTAAAGAACTATTCCTTGAACTCTAAGTTAAGAGGAAAATTAAACGTATTCATTTACTCCTATTCCCTCCTGAGAGCTTGTGCAATAAAATCACAAAGGGAGGAGAGGGGAAGAAAGGAAGTTAGGTAAGCAGACAGAAGGACAAACAGAATAAGAGGAAAGAATAAGACTGGGGGAATTCAGAAAGCAAGTAACAGTGGTAACTGACAGTATACCTGAGAAAGCTGAACCCTAGGCTAACCACTGAGAAGGCCAAGCAGGTACCTGATTTACAAGGAATCTGCAAATACCAAAAGGTCTGAGAACTGGTATCATTAGATATTTCTAGAAGTATAGGTAAAATGAGATTCAAAAACTGCAGGAGTGATTGAAAGTCTATTTAACAAAAAGACTATCTGATTCCTGTGCAAATCTTACACATCAGGCTACTGTTTCTCCTCTCTTGGCTGAAGACTAAAGGTTAATTATTTCAAAATAATTGGACAAGGATAGGACACTCTAAACTAGGGGCCACCAAACAGATGAAAGCAGTAGTACTACTGTGAAAAAAGAGCAACAAATTGAAAGTTTGTATTAATGTTGAGTTCTTCAATGTTCTTTCCCTTCTCTCCTTCCTAATGCCATGTAAAAGTACAATAAAAGAAAAGCAACAAGCTGGGCACAAGTGAACTGGAGGAGTGGCTCAAGTTCACTTGAGCTCACCTGTTTTGCAAGTGCAAAGCCCTGAGTTCAAACCCCAGTACCACAGAAAGAAAGAAAGGAAGCAGAGAAAGAAAAAGAAAGCAATGAAAATGGTGACTTTCAACTAGGGGTACTCCCTTACCCCTCAGGACATTTGGCATTATCTAGAGACACTGGGTAAGTGGTGGGATCCAGGCATGTAAAAAGTTCTTCTCTTTTGTTCTCTTTAAAATTTTTATCATGTACATATATGGCTTTTAATCTTTTTGTTTTTCCAGTTATCAAAATGAGTATGTGGGATGTGAGGATGATCTGGGTACAACATCTGTCACCCCATTAATTGCCTGGGTTGATCTGGCTGATCTGGCTGGCTAGGTGGGTGTCCATTTCCTCCCTCACCATTACATATGTGTCCCTCCTGAAGCTGTATGCTTGGTTGAAAAGGACAACCACTGCAACAGTCAATGGTCAAGGGTATACAAGTAGCCGCAGTCCTCTGCTAGAACCTCTGAACAAGCTCTCAAAATGAGTATATGGATGGTGATATTATGAATCATTCTGGTTTTCTTCTTTATACAATATTTTATAATATGTTATAATAAATAAAATCCTATGTTGGTAAATAAATAAAGCCATGATTTAAAATATAGTGCAACAATTTAAAGTTTATCAAAGAAAATTGGAAAAGTAAAAAAACTAAAAAGCAATTTCTTCTATAAACATATTACATCAGGCTGGGTGTGGAGTTCCTATCTGAATTCCCAGCTACTTATGAGGCAGAGATTGGTAGGATAGCAATTTGAAGTCAGCCTGGGCAAAAAAGGTGGTAAGACCCCCATCTCAACCAACTGCTATGTGTGGTGGTAGTTGTTATGCCAGCTAGCAAGACCACTGGGCAAAAATAACAAAAGCAAAAAGGGCTGGGGGTGTGGCTCAAGTGGTAGAGCAGCCTGCCTAGTAAGTGTGAGGCCCTGAGTTCAATCCCCAGTACCACCCAAAAACAAATCACACCAAAGTTTTACTGGGACACCTAAGTAACAGCAAAAAATTTTAGTTGGAATTTACAAAGTAAGGCTATATATTAATAACTTTATTCCCTTTAACTGATGTAGTTTTAGTGTAGGTAAACTTACTAAAACCAAAATACATACTAATTTTCCCTATACAAACAAAATGTTGTAGACACACATTGGAGACCTAAAAATCCTAATAACAAATGATTTAGGGAAAAAAAGGTGTGATTTTAGAATGTACTTTGAGGCAGAGAGTTATTAACAACGTAAAGCACAGTTTCTGTGTACAGTCATTGCTCTCTCAGATCTGCTACATCAATGACTTAGAGCAAACTGACTTGTGGAGGGAGAAGGGAATCAGTCTTAGGTGGGTAACAGAATTGCTTGTTATTTTCTTTTAAAGAAACATGCATTCCTTCTATAATAAGAAGGAAGGAAGAAAGGATGGAACAAAGAAAAGAAAGAAAAGGGAAGGAAAGAAATTTAAAACTAAAGTTTAAAAAAACAAACAAACCAATCTGTTTAGGAATAATATACTAATGAGCAATGATACTTTTTCGGGTTTTAGGTTTTTCTTCCAATTACTACATAATTCAGTTCTGTATATGAACAGTTCCTTTATTTGTTTTTGGTTTTCTTCTTCCTTTTTTTTTTGTGTGTGTGGCACTAAGGTTTGAACTCAGGGCCTCATGTTTGCTAGGTCCTTTTATCACTTGAGTCACTCCACTAGCCAGTTTCTGGTTCTTTTCTTGAACAAAGACGTTTAATTTTCTCATTGGATAGAGATGAATCTGCACTCGTTTAATAGGAATTAATCAATATTATAAATTAACCAAGTAGAAGAGGTTTAAGTTGTTTTTCTAAATATTCTCAATTACTACAGCAGAAAAAAAACACTATTTTTTTTTTGCTTTTCAGCTGGAGTCATCTAATTGAGATATATACGAGTTTATTCTTTTTCAATTTTAAAATTCAGTAACTTTTCTAGATGGAATGGTTTCAACACTCAATACATTTGGTCAAGCAATTATCTTAATAGTATATGAAAACTAAGATTTCATATCTTCATATTTGCAACTTATAAACAAACTGCAATATTTATATTTATTTTATATTACAAATATATTTTAAATTGTTTTTCACTGATAATATAGAAATAATCAATGAGATGGTAGAAACTGTTAAAAGAACACCATTGAAAACCAAAAACACAGTAAATTAAGCAAAATACTATTACCATATAACTAAAAACTGCTTCTGGATTTTCAAGTGTCTGTCTTAACTATCAAATGTTACACCTGACAAAGTTGTTCTGGATTGATTAAGCTCTATTATAATTAAATAGAGGGCTGTAACTCTATTATAATTAACACAAGACAAAACAAAACTTAGGTCAAGCTGGAAAACTACCTGCTTTAATTCTGCAACTTGTTCAGAATCTCTAGCTGAAGCTGCTGCTGAAGATTGTTCATTCATGCCAGAAGATGTTTGAGATTTCTACAAATAGCACAGAAATAAAATATGAATCATGTTCAGTATAATGAAAAAGGGAAAAACTAAAACAGAACTATACCCGTATCAGCTCTATCTTATAGATGATCACCAAAAAATTTCACATCAGCATTTTAGTTTATATGCCAGATAAAATTTCAACATAGCATATATTATCTATAATTTTTCTACAGCTAATAAAATTAAACTTATACTTATTAAATCTAAATACTTAACTGAGATTGTAGAGAAAAAGGTATTTCTTGAACTATTTCCATGCATTAAAAGATTATTTCAATTAAGTCTCTAAAAATAGGCATTGCCATCTCCATTTATAGATTAGGAAATTAGTTTTTCAGTTGGGTACAGTGGCTTACACCTATAAGCTTAGTTCCTTGGGAGGAAGAGGTCAGGAGGATCAAGGTTCAAGACCATCCTAGGCAAAAAGTTAGTGACTCTCCATCTCAATCACTGAAAAGCTGGTGTGATGGTGCACGTGCACCTGACATCCCACTTATATGGGAGGTGTAAATAGGAGGATTGTGGTCCAGGTTGGAATGGGCATAAGCATAAGACCCTATTTGAAAAATAAAACAAAAGAAGCTGGGGCATTGCTCTAGTGGTGGAGTGCAAGGCCCTGAGTGCAAACCCACTTCTACCAAAACCCAACAAATTTAAAGAGGCTTACCAAGTTGCTTAAATTCAACTACCTATGGAACACTGAATGTAGTCAGTCTGATTCCAATGCTCTTATTCTAAAATCTTAATATATGATTCCTCTGGCTTAAGGGATCCAGCAAAACAAACAAGATGAGAATTACTCTTGACTGCTTATTTAAATTTAACATTTACTTACCAAATTTTCAATCAAAGAGTCCTTTTCAGCCAGCTGGCTTTGTAAAAGTTCCTGATTACTTTTTAATTCTTCTATTTCTTCTCGCAACCTACTAATTTCTTCTGGCTGAATACCATTCATCTGAGCCCCGTCATTACATGAACCTTGATGATGACTGTCTTTTCCTGTTAAACAGCATAAAATTTGAAAAACCAGAATGAAACTTAAGTTTTCCATTTTTTTTAATCTAAAAGAGTGAAATATAAGATTAATATAGATATAAGATTCAAATATATGCTCAGTGCTGGTGGTTCATACCTAAAATCCTACCTACTCAGGAGGCAGAGATCAGGAGGATCACAGCTTGAAGCCAGCCTGAAAATACTCAACACAAAAAAGGGCTGGGGATGTGGCTCAAGTGGCAGAGTGCCTGCCCAGCAAGCATGAGGCCCTGAATTCAGATCACAGTACCAAAAAAAAAAAAAAAAGTATATATATATACACACACACAAATATACGTATATATAAACATTTGTATATATAAATATATATATAAATATATATAAATAGATATACTATATATAGAGATATGCTAAAAAATAGACACCTAAAAAATTAGCTAGCATTTGTTGCTCTTAACGCAGAGAAACTAAAGCAGATACCTTAAAAGCAACTGAGGCCAATAGGAAAAGGGGACTAGGAACTAGAGAAAAGGTTAGATCAAAAAGAATTAACCTAGAAGGTAACACACATGCACAGGAAATCAATGTGAGTCAATGCCCTGTATAGCTATCCTTATCTCACCCAGCAAAAACCCTTGTTCCTTCCTATTATGGCTTATACTCTCTCTACAACAAAATTAGAAATAAGGGCAAAATAGTTTCTGCTGGGTATTGAGGGCGTGGGGGTGAGAGGGAGGGGGCGGAGTGGGTGGTAAGGAAGGGGGCGGGGGCAGGGGGGACAAATGAACCAAGCCTTGTATGCACATATGGATAATAAAAGAAGAAAAAAAAAAAAAAAACTGAAAAAAAAGTTAAAAGAAGTAAATAAAAACCAACCATAATCTCAAAAAAAAATATATATATATTTGTATATATAAATAGACATACTATATATATAGATATGCTATATATATAGCATATCTATTTATATACATAAATATGTATATGTATATAATGCATATAACTCCCTTAACTCAATTAATTTGGCAGCACTTTTGTAAACACAGTTCATCTTTGCAGAACAGTGTATCGATAAAATAGTGAACTGATACATTTTCAGAGTTTCTAGTTTTGATTAAACTGTATGGTTTGGTAATCTATCATTACGAATTACATCAGTTTCAATTCCAATTCTGTTGATGCATGTAAGATAAAGTAAAATTCCTTTTAAAATTCTTCAGAGGAATAGCTACCTATAACAGGCTGAAATAGCTGACAAATTATTGCCATACATAAAGGAAGAAGATGTTTTTTCTCTGAAAGCTTTAGTCACACTCATATAAATAAACTTTGTACTTCTGGTATTTGAGGACTGGATGAGGAGCTCAGTAGTAGAGTGCTTGCCTAGCATGCTCAAGGTCCAGGATTTGATCCCAAGCACCACACACACAAATAAAGTTGTAAGTATTAAGCTCTTACCATTTTCTGAGAAATGAACTAGAATTTTATAGATAATTATTTAATTCTCAGGTTACACAAACACTATTATCTCCATTTGGGAGAAGAACTGAAAAATTAGATCATTTGCAACTAGCAACATATTAGAATCACCTGGGCACCTGGATTAACTACTGATGCCCAAGCTCTTCTCCAGATGAAGTAAATCTGAAACTCTAGTGGGGTGTCAGCATTGGGATGTTTTTAAAAAGTATCTCACAAGATTCTAATGTGTAGCCAGTAGCCAGTGTTGACGATCATTAGGTCAAGTAATCAAGTAGTAGCAAGGAGCTTGGAGTTCAAATTTTAAAGATCGAGGCCTAACTACTCTTAATTACCAAGCCATTTTGCCTTAAACACTACATGTTTGTCATAATGATTAAGGTTAGAGAAAAAATATCCTACAAAAAGAATCTGTTTGAGTTGCCCAGCTCACAGGACAGAATGACCTGGAGACTATGATTCTGAGGACTAGCTACAACTTACCTAGCTGTACTTTAAGAAGATTATACAGATCCTTGTGCTGCTGAATCTGACATGCTTGCTGTGTGACTGCTGTCTGGAGTTGTTCGTTTTGACATTTCAATGTAGAAACCTGCTGCTTTAATTCCTCTAGTTGTAGATCCTGTGAAATAAAACATAATTCAAGGGTTTTAATTTCATTCTAATTAGCCTTAAGTATTACGAACAATTAAAAATGCAGATGTTATTTGGGGTTAGTAGTTAAAAGTACCAACACTTTCAAAATCATTCAATAATTATTAATACATGAATATATATCCCAAAGCCAATTAACATGCAGCAGAACACTAAGATTTCAAGCAACTAATAAGCATGATGGCACAGCCTGCAGTCTCAATGCAATATGGAAGAAAGTCAAGTGAAAAGCTCCAGTTTATGATCTATCAAACCATTAAGAAATTTATACCAAACTATTTCAGAAACTTACTATCTGCAAATACACATATGCATCTGCATTGTTTTAACAATGAAACACAACTATATAACAGAACATTTAAAAGATCAAAAAAAAAAGAGCTTTCAACTCTTACTACCCTAATACAACTACAGTTGAAATTTGATATTATTTTCTTCTAATTTATTTTCTAATCTGTGGTTTTAAACTTGCCATAATCAGTCATACATAGCTTTGTAATGTTTACTATTTGTCCATAATTTTTCCCTCATTGTTATACAATTTTCATAATCATCATTTTTAATGCTCACTTAATACCTGATCAAGTAGGTGCAATATAATTCATGTTAGATATTGTTAACACTGATGTTGTCCCATTCTTAAAATTATAAATAACCTTATACTAATATCTTAGTCCACATAGCTATCTTCCTGAAATCTGGATAATTTCCTTACGATGGATTCTCAAATAGCATCCGAACGATTTAAACAGGTTAAAGTGCTTGATGACATTATCTAATGCCAAATAGCATTTTAATTGGTGAGAACATCATGTAAAACTAACATTAACAATAAATAATTATAGCAACTGTATCAAATCACTGTTTTCTTCTCCCAAATCAACTGTACTTATCAGCCCCAAATTTAGGCTATACATCACAGTTCAAGTACTTCTTTTTCTTTTTTTCTCTTTTATCATTTTTACATTTACTTACATGTGTATACATTGTTTGAGCCACCTCCCCCCTCTTCTCACCCTGCTCAAGTACTTATTTTTCATTGCTCCAAAAATACTACTTATCAACTGGAAATGACTCTACAGGTGTACGATGCTATAAATGAAAAATCCTAATAACCATAAGCAGTTTGATGATTCAAATTTGGTAAAAAATGATTCCAGTTTACTGATTTGCTTAAACTGAAAAGGTAAGACTGAATGTGAAATGTAACACAAATTTTTGCCTTCTTAAAACTTCAATATCAATAATATGAATTGGTAATAAAACACACATGAACTGCCATCAGTGTGTTCTTTGACATCAGAATTTTAATGACATCAATAATCTAATTTTTCAGATAATACCACAATACCTTCCAGAATTCCAACCATACATATAACATGAAAGAAACTGAGTAAGAGCAAAAATCAAGAGACACATTTTAAAGGAATGTAATGGAAGCCTTCAAGTCTTGAATACAATGTAAATAACTGAAGTTCACTAGTATTCTGAAAAAGTCAGCTGACATTCAAACAATATAGTTTCAACTTAACTCATCATAACACACTCTTAATAAGTCAGTTTATTCTCTATCTATTCAGTATCTCTCACTATCTACTCAGCATCATCACTTCAATTGTCTAAGACAAAAATCTAGGAACAGCTGACTTTTTCTATACCTTTCCACTTGTATCTAAACATTACCTAGTCCTGCCAATTTTTATATTTAGTTTCCACATCTCTTAATTCTGTCCCTTCTACAACATACAGTATGATCTGTAGTGTCTCCCACCCATGTATTTGAATTTTGTTTCAGCAATTACTGAGAGACCTTGGGCAAACTTAAATTCTCTAAGTTACATATTCCCCATTTATCCTAAACTAAAGATAAGAGTTACTTTGTAGGGGTACTGTGAAAAGTTATATGAAATAGTGTTTAAATATGATGACTGTGCAGGCACACATCTGTTGCTCCAGCTTCATGGGAGGAAAAGGTAGGAAGATAGAAGTTCTGAGGCTGGCCCAGGCAAAAGTGCGAGACTATCTGAAAAACAAACTAAAGCAAAAAGGCCTGGCAGTATGACTCAGGTGTTAAAAGAGTGCTTGCCAAGCAAACATGAGACCTTGAGTTTAATTCCCAGTTCCACAAAAACAAAACAAAACAAAAAAAACTCATGCTGATAAGTTTGTAGACTACAATAAATAAAAAAGGGTAACCATTATCATTGTTATCATCAATGCTCTAATTTTCTCCACTAGCCTACTCCCACCATAACCTCTTTCTTGGGCTCCCTCCCTCTAGCCTTGGCTCTCAATTTTTTTCCTTCACATAGTCAGCAGAGTGTCCTATGTATATGCAACAGCATTAGTCAGATTCAAATTGTTTACAGTCCTCTGCCTCCCTTCCCTAGCTTTCTTTTTGTGTAGCTTACTTCTCTGCATTCTTTCAGGAGATGGCTTTTAGGCCCTTAGTCCTATCTGGCTACATTACCCACCTCCTACTGCTGCCACACCTGTGATTAGCTCTATCACTAGACATAATATGTTATTATATGTATGCTATGACAATTTATTTACAGGTTTGTCTCTCCCTGGGATTGATAAGAATATGTTTGATTCACAGTTTTATCCACAACATCCCACCTGTGCTTAGCACATATTAATACTTAGATACTTTCAAAAATAAAAGCTTTACTTTCTGCATCCTTTTGCATTTAATGTGCCAGGAAAACTTCTTTCCTAAAGTGGAAAGTACCTATCAGTAACGAGAGTACAATTCACTGACACTTACTTGTTCTCGAATCATATTTTTATAGTGAGTTACAATGCTGTCATGCTGTTCTAATGTTTTCTTTACCTCTTCTTCTTTTTTATCTTCTTCACTGGACTTATAAATAGCCTTAGTTATAACACCTGTAAAAGAAAGTGTATTTAAATTTGTCTTAAACTTTTGTTTGTTTGCTTTTGTGGTACTGGGGATTGAACCCAGGACCTTGCACATGCTCTGCCACTGAGCTGATACACACCCCCAGTCCTGTTTTAAACACTGTAAATATTTTATTATTGCAACTTCATCCATAAAAATAGCCTAACTAATGACAGGTATGTAATAATCTTCCCAATCTTACAGAAATCCAAGTCTTTCAATGGGCTACAGATCATATATGATAGATTTGTCATATAATCTACATGCATCCAGAATATACAAAACACAATATAATCATAATTATAGATATCAATATAAACCTTCTTGCCTTACCTTCTAGTTCTTTTACCAACTTTGTAAACTCATGATCAAATATCATGTATTCTGGACTGGGAAAGTTTGGCTGGGGTTTCTGTGATGCTCTGGAATATAACTCATGTTTGCTAATAAATCCTAGTTTCTCTATGAAATTCTCTTTGCCAATTCTCTTCTCTATTAGTTGTTTTAGTTTCTCTCTGTAGAAATAAATGTATTGAGATGCTTACAAAAGATTAGTCTAATTACACTTTAGCAGAAAAATATATCCTTATCTCTGGATGCTGTTAGAGGGTCATGTTGTCCTTACTTACTTCATGTAGTTCTCAAGTGAGTTATCATTGTAGTAAATTGAAATACCCAATAGAAGGGCACACAATCCTTGGACCAACTGCTCTTCTTCTCCAAGATTTTCTGCAATTTGTCCTGTAAGCTGAAACTTTTGTTAAGGAGTTTAATGATTTATAAGACCTAGAATTCTTCACTTTGTAACATATTTCATATAAGATTTCCTAAAAGAAATTCTACATGTATTCCAACTGCCATAAAACAAATAATGGCACACACACACACACACACACACACACACACACACACACACACACAAACACACACAGCTAAAGTATGCATCATTATACCCGTAATAGTTCCAAAAGTTGCAACATGGATAGCATGGCAAAGAACTCAAAAGTTTGGGGTACAGAGCTACCTCTAATTGAGAAGAAGAAATTTAAGAGATATAAGTTACTTACATGTATGATGCTAAAACATAAAGGATACAAATGGAACATTGGCTGAATTGTGGAGAAAATGTGTTACTGCAATGGGACAGTTGCTTAACCAGGTACAAAGCAACATTAATAATCCAACTCTTGTCTGTATTTTGCTTCCCTGCAACACATAAGTTGACAGAAATCTCTATTCATTTTATTTTTTTCAAACAAAGTTGCCCTAAGATCCCTTCCCATTTGTATAAAAAGACTTTTAACATCATTATAAAAGATGTATAAGAAAGTGGATTTTGAAAAGTTAAAGAGAATGGATTCTTTTGTCCACCATAAACCATATTTGCCAAAATGAACACAGTGCCAAAATTAGAACTGATTCATGTGTATAAGCATATACTGGGTTATTTAAAACACTATCAGCAGAAAAAGGTGGTCCACTAAGAAAAACACTTTCTATGATGTGGAGGCTTTAAAAAATCTACTGATTCCAAGACATGTTATTAAAATAAATTTGCCAGGCTTCAAGACTTCTACCCTCCTACCTCTGCCTCCTATACAGCTAGAACAATAGGTGTGCGCCACCACACTCAGCATGTTTAAACATTATTTCATTTAATTTTCTAGTACTCCTACAAAGTTGTTCTTCTCTTTAGTTTAGGATAAATGGGGAATCTATAACTTAGAGAATTTAAGTTTGCCCATGGTCTCAGTGATTGCTAGAACAAATGAGAATTTGGTATGCAAGCAAGGTTCCATAAAACTGTCACTGTGTTACAGCTAGATTTAAAAATGTTGTGGCAAAACTAGACAGCTGTCTAGAAAAAGATCAGTGGATCCGATTCATTGAGAAAAGTGAAATAAAGTTAAATTTTTAAAAAGAAACCAGAAATTACAAGATGAACATACAGGTAAATTCCTAAGTATTAAAAGTGCCTAAGTATGACTTAAAATAGAGAAGCCAAAAAAGAAAAGACTAATTAAGAAAAAATCAAATCAAAATACCAAGGTCAAAAGACAAATGACATGCTAGGGAAAAGACATGTAACTCATTTTGAGAGACAAAGGTTAAATTCTTTAATATAAAACGAGCAGAGATTATGAAATACAAAAAAACATATACACCTCTTCCTAGAGCCTCTGAGTGCATGAACCACTGAGGAAATTTGAAAAAAAAAAAAAAAGGAGGCTAAAACTGTAATTTCAGAGCATTCTGGGGGTTTAGGTGTTAAAAACCACAAACAAAACATCTGAAGTTGACTCACCTTTACATAAGCTATTATGTTTTTTCTATTACATTTTCAAATTAAAAATCCCTCTCATTCCTTTGTGCATTTCAAGTTAGTATTTCTGTATTCTTTATAAAAACATAAATAAGCTGAATTTTAAACTTCTAATGTTCAAGTATTACAATGAGGTGCTAGCATTATATGCTTAAATTCATTTTCCAGTGATGGCCTCTGGAAACAAAACACAGCAACACTTTTAACTCATTTAGTAAGAAGGATGATGAACCTACCCGGCAACGATAAAGAATACACACATACTCACGCACACAGAAAAGAAAGATGATGAAGATGAAGCTCTTGAATTATAAAAATGTTCTATAACTTGTTATGAGTGGTAATTGCAGAAGTATACTCAAACATCAAAAATCATCAACTGAAAATATAAGGTCTGTGTATTTTACTCTGCATAAATTAGTATCCCTTAAACATCCCTTTCAAATAACTGACATATATACTTATAAAAAACTTTTCCTAATAGCAAAAATTCTGGGTATGGGATGTAGCTCAATTCCAAAGTGCTTATTTAGCATGCACAAGGCCCTGGGTTTGATGCCCAGTACCACAGAAGAAAACAAAACAAAACTGCAGGTTGAAACTGCCGAATGTATGTGTGTGTGTTTGTGTGTATAAAGAGTTATAACTACATGTTAAATCACGCTCATACACAAAGGTAAAATTCCTAATAGGACCTCAGTTGTTACTACTCAAATTATACAACTGAACACATGCTTACAACACAAATATTAAGTACACTTTTGATTTTTTTGCCAAACACTCAAAAGAAAAACCAAAGCAAACCAAACACAAAGAGCACTCTTCCCCAACACATCAAAAGCTAATCTCTGATGATGGTAGTAGCATATGAACTGTATCTAGAATAATCCATAATATTTAACTTAAAACAATTCAGATTATAAAAATTATACTTACTAATGCACACTTTAAATAATCAAGTAACAAAAGTCATGCATTCTTCACAAACTGATTAAATGAACATAAAATTCTTAACCCTAAATTTTACTTCCTTTGAAATGGCTTCAGGGAAAATAAAGAAACAAGCTTGGAGAAGATACATAAAAAACCAAAACCGAGAATTTCAGAAAGTGCAAGCATCCCCGGAGGAGGCACAAGAATATAGGTTTTAGATTCTCATTCCCACAGTTCTTAGTAATACCAGCAGAGTATCCCATGGAGAAAACTAGAGAGCCACTTAGAGATAAACTTGCTGACATATAAAAGTGTGAGTAGAATATAACTTCAAACAAGCAGTTAAAAAAAAAATGAGCAAAACCCAAGACAAAGAAAAAGCCTTGTTGTAAGAAGAAAATGCCTAAGCTTAATCAAGTTATACATACCCGTCTGTCGATCTTATCACCCTGCAAATTATACATTAAAAATTATTCATAAATATTACTACTTTAGAAAACTAGAACAGTTCCTCAAATACTTTTTCAGTCTCTGCAATCTAAGCCAGTAATTTGGGACAGGGCAGTTCTAATCTTTTATTGTCTAACGATGATATACATTTTACAGGCCTAAATAGGGTTAATTGTATAATAACTGTGATTACTTAAAGAATGGGGGAAGACACCACACCATCATCTTTAGTATTTCCCATTCTGCATTCATTGCACTTACAAAGTTAAAGCATGTATGTGGTGATGGATCAGTTCCTGTTTGCCTTTTTTAAAAAAAAATGCATTTTCAAAAGACAGCAACAGGTGAATGGCAAGCATTAAATAAGATGTGGGAAAATATGGTGTAGTTTTTGTTTTTAACCACTAGGAAATAAGTGACAAACTTTCAATTGAAGTAAACCAATTTAAACAGCATTCAACACTCTCTTCACTATAGTTAATTTTTAAGCTTTCATTTGTAACTTCATAGACGGAACTGATGTTTCTTTAAAAGTTCAAATAAGAGCTGAGAAGTGGGGGTGTAGCTCAGTGGTTGAGGGTGTGCTTAACACCAAAAAAAGAAAAAAAGCTCAACACAAGAAAAAATGCAATGTGCAACAAAATTAAAAATTAAGGAAGAACACAGCACACTACGGTGAGGGAGTGAGCAGGCTAATTCTACTGCTAGAGCAAGTGAACAGAAATTTTTAGACTCAGCCACACTGTACTTTTCTCTAAGTAGCCTGAATATCAGTGACTTTATAGTTTTGCTAAAGCATGAACTTCAATTGTTGAACAGCAAAGCTAGTACATATGGGCAATCATGTAGTGAGGAACATTCCTTAATGTCTTAGCAGCCACACTTAAATGAACAGCTTTGTTCTTCTCATTAAAAGTCTAAAGGAAGGGCTGGTGGAGTGACTCAAGTGGTAGACCACCTGCCTAGCAAGTGTGAGGCCTGAATTTAAAAAAAAAACAAACAAAACATCTTTCTGCTCAAAACTTGTGTTTTCATCATGATGTAGACCACACAACTACTTGGCAAAATGATTCCTATAAAATATTGCTTCTTCTCTACAAAATTGTTTCTGGTTATAATAAAAATAGTAGATAAATGCTTTCTTTCCTTTTTCTTCTGCATCTTCTGAAATCAGCCTTAAGACTTTGTACCACTGACATTTCAAACAGAAAGCTGAACCTCACTGTGCCTCAGCAGTTGCATGCAATGCCATACCTGTGAAAGGATGTTGGTGCACTGTTGCAGTAAAGAAACCGGAGGGTTGCCGATACTCGTAGCAAGTTGGACCCTGAGTAGCTGTTCTTTCTGAGTAGCATTTTCTTGTAAAGCATGGGCAAGGGCCACAGCAGCACACCAGTTTGAAAGTGAATCAGGAGAAAACAAACCTCCACATAATAACTGACCAGCTGAGACTGAATTACCTGTTGCTAACAAAGATGGCAGGCAGATGATAATAACATATTAGATGCTGACTACGCAGCAATAAAATAAAATTTAAACAGAATTCATAAAAATTAATTTCTACACTCATGAATTTAGTATGAAATATTACAAAATACTATCTAAACATTTGTTAGTATTATGAAGTAACATTTTCAAAACAATAACTCTACTTTTTAAAACAAAATAAATGACAGAAAGGTATCTTGGAAGAGAAGAGGCAGAACCAAGAAATATTAGAACACTCTAGGCATCAAATTGATGATGGTAATTGTCCAGAAACTTATTATCTTAACTGAAAACAATTCTAAAATTCTAAAGAATTTTATTTTAATTATTCCACAACCTCCAGCATTTACTGTCATTTATAGTACATCATTTTTATGGCGTTATTTTTTACCAAGAATAATTTTGGTAAAATATCATTAATAGACCTAAAATTTTGAGAGAAAAAAGCCCTCACGTTTTATGCGATTAAAATAAACTCTACTAATGTTCGCAATCACCTATGTCAAATTGCTTTTAATGTTTAATGTTAAAAAAGGTAAATATTTACATTCATCTCAAGTAACTGAAATGTTAAAAAATCCTTAAGAAAGCTAATGGCTCTAATCTATACTAGAACAACAGACCACTTTGTTGGGTATGATATAATGGTTGGATTTATCTTTAGAGTGGTAATTTCTACTAACAGCAGTTTCTGTTTATTGGCATCTATTATATGCCAGGTATTGAGCTAAGTGCTTTTCATATATAATTGCATTAATTCTCATATTTCTAATGATGTATCATTATCTCCTTATAACTTGATAAAGCAGGAGAAATGGAAAATCTGCAATGCAAACTCTGGTCTGACCCCAAAGCCTGTTCTCTAAATTTATTTTTAGGCATTAGAGCTTAGATTTTTTTCCCAAAGCATACAAAGTATTTTAGACTACAGCATGAGAAAAAAATTTAAATGAAAGCTTGAGAAAACAATTATTTACTTTTAAAAATACAAATTTGAACTAAGTTATTTACCATCAATAGTGGAGGGTAGAAGTGTTGACACAATTTCTCCTTGTCCTTTTTGGTTTTTATATAAGAAACACTGGAAACAATAAAGCACAGCACAGCGCAAAACAAACGGCTGCCTCTCATTAACCATAGACATGAGAAGTACTACAATTGCTGGTCTGTTGCATTTAAAAAGAAAGGAAGAAAATGAATTACAACCTCAAAACATAGATCAGTTACTAATCATTTTTGTTGACTGGAAAACCATAACTAGGACACGAACAAATTAAACATTTCCAACTCCACTTCACAGATAAGGAAATTGCAGCTAAGAAAAGCAAAGTGATTTGTTTAAGTCACATATCTGAGAAGTGCAAGGGTGACATCTGAACCTAAAATACCTAATTTCCAAAGACCATATACTTATAAAATAGCAATTTATTTATATTGTCACAAAATTTCCAGTTCTAAAACATATAACTGAACTTCTTAAAAAGAGTAAGATGTATATATGAGATATATTAATTACCCAAACCAAGCTCTTACTTCTTCAGAGCAATCTCAGTGTTTCCTACCTTGGTGGGTTTGAAGGTGCATTTACAGAAGCAAAGTAGTCTTGGTTTACTTGACAGCCTCGAATAACTTCTGATACGGTATTTATGGTCTGGCAAGAGAGAAAAAAGACTATTTAGAAAAAGCAAGTCAAAGAAGAAAAACATTTTCAAAAGAAGAAAATGAGCTGGACATTGGTGGCTGATGCCTGTAATACTAGCTACTTAGGAGGCAGAAATCAGGAGGATCTGGTTCAAAGCTAGCCCAGGGAAGTAGTTCTTAAGACCCTATATCAAAAAAACCCATCACAAAAAAGGGTTGGTGAAGGAGCTCAAGGTGTAGGCCCTGAGTTCAAGCCCTACTACTGTAAAAAAAAAAAAAAAAAACAAAGAAAATGTTACATCCTGCTTTTTGTTTTTAAATGCCAAAATTCAGATATCCCCAAAATCAGTTGCAGCATTATAATCTTGTAATACTCTCAAGATAAAGTTTTAAAACATTAAGAGTGAGTCTCTAATTAAAATAATACTTGACCACATGCATTTAAAATCTCAACAAAATTAGAAAAAATGTTTTAAAATAAAAGCAGAGAACACATTTAAAATGTAACACATTAAAAATTCAATTTAAGTCGAAAAAACTTTCAAGAAAACTTACTTTTTTTCAAGAGTAAAAGGATAAGCTATATATATTTCATTTATACACAATAAATATCTTCTCTTATTTATCAACTAAAAATAATTAATTTTTAAAAGAAGACAAACTAGGTTCAAAAAATCTAATAATTTATTAATAGGGTTACAGAAAGAGAAAAAGAGAATTACTAAGAATAGCAAACACATCCTCAGAACTGAAGATCATGTGCCTACAGCTCAAAGAGCCCAGTGAGTGGCAAAAATAATTGGGAGGTGGAAAGAAGGTCCACAGTATAGCACATCATCAGCAAATTTCAGAAAACCAGAAACAAAGAGAAAAGGCACAGTACACAAAACAGATTTGAATTCAGAAGAGTGAACTACTTTTTAACAGTAAGAGAATGAAGTTCTGAAGGTTGGAATGATAATGACTTACAACCCTGAATTCCATTCCTAGACAAATATTAACTCTGAAGGGAGAGGATGACATTTTCAAGCATGAAAGAACTAAATAAAATCTATTGTCATTTACTGTGTTTTTTTTTTAAGAAAATTAAGAAAAATAAGACAATGGGGTGGGTAAAAAAAGATACAGGATCTAGAACATCAAAGAATCTAAATCACATGAAAGATTAAAAAAAAAAAAAAAAAGTAGGACCAGAGCTGTGTGGCAGAACTAGAGTCCAGACTGGAGAAGGATGGAAGGTTTGCAGAAGAAGGCTGGGGGCAGGGAATGATATGTTGAACTTAAGAGTATTAGTACGTACAAACATGTAGAAAAATCAGTAAAATGAAAAATATGTTTTAAAAAATAAAAGAAATACAACTATAACTCAGAGAAGAGAAAAATAACCCCTTCCTCCCAAAAAGATTCTTCCAAGGGTTCTTGGTTTCAACTTGTACAGAGTGGCCTCTTCCTTAGTTTCATTTACCTCAGTCAGGATGTCAGCAGGAATTCCAGTAGCCATTAGAATAGTGCAAAGCTGCTGCAATAATCCACACTGGAACATAGCCTTCTGGCAGCTACTGGTGGCTCCAGGAGGGTTAGTGGGAGATACCAGTACCCGCACAAGCTGTGAAAGAAAGACAAACAAAATTTTGTGTTCTATCTATAATGGCTTGAGGCTAATCTGATCTATTTGAACAACAGCATCTGTATGAAGCATGCTCTTATCTGCTCAGCCAAATCTAGGTGCTCTTGCCTTTGTGTTCCCATGGCATCAGTCTATTATATATAGTACATATTACATTATGCTATCTGCTTAAGGTTATATTCTTCTGGTGATGTGAACTCAAAAGAGTAACAACTGCCTTGATCATTTTTTTATCCCAAACAAAAGTAGTACATAGTAGCACAGTACTATGAACTCAAGAGTTCAATGCTAGCCTAAGCAGAAAATTAAGAGACAATCTCTTAGAAAGAAAAAAGGAATCCCTAAATAGATTCAACTTCAGCTTTCAATGGCTTACAATTCAGTAATGATATAAAATAAAAAATACTTAAAGAATCAATCTGTTATGTAAGTAGAGTTCTGTGTTTTTTGTTGTTGTTTATATACTGCAATATATTAAAAAATTTTTTTGGTAAAATACTACTCTACTTTTTGAATAGTAACATTTGCTTCAAAATAATTCTTTATATAGTACCCTAAGCCACAAAACAGGAGCAGGTTCCCCAAGCACTGAGAATTTAAATTCTCACTGTTTTGGTAGGAAATACATGTCTTCAAGTATCATCAGATCTCTTCACTCCTTCACGGTCTAATCTTTTTTTTTTTTTAATGCAGTGCTTGAGATGGAACCCAGAGCCTTGCACTACCACTAAGCTACACCTCTAGCCCTCTAATCACATTCTAAACGTTACTTTTCTAGAGGAATTTCCTTTATTAAGAGAGCAGTGTTATATAAAGATTATCGAATTTACCACTTAGTGAAGCTGTTTCTAAAACTAATAAATTCTTGATATGTGTAATACTGACATGTGAAAACAGAAATGATAAAATTGGGAAAATAAATAAAACTGACTGACTCTGTGACCACATTCTCAGGGAAAATACCTTCCTAACAGTTTTTAGGCATAATCTAAAGATAGTAGTGACATAATTTATAATTCAAACAAGAACACTTTTGAAGTTAAAGAGGACACTATTAGTAATTACAAAATGAATACTGTCCTGGTAAACTGGGGCACACTATCACCCTGATTACCAACCAATCCTATGTAGGCAACTCCTTGAGCATGAACAATACTTAGACTCTCATTACTGGAAGGGTAACCATCTAGTCTTGAGTACATGACTTCAGAGATGTAGGCACAACACAGAGACATTCAAAGACCCAAAGAATCACTGAAGTTCCTAGGTTAGTTGGCTGGTATAACCTTAAGGATATGGAGAAGGTGAATTCAGTAAAGGAATAAATAAGTAAGTTTAAGAAGTTTAATTTTTTCTCAGATGTAGAAATCATTTGGGACCCTACTATCTTATTTTTACTATCTAATCCCACTAAACTTTCACCATGAAACTTACATAAAATTATAGGCAATTTGCCAATTTAACCTGAATTGTTTTAAAACTCAGACTAGATCTTTGGGAGCAAGGACATTACAATTCATTTCCTAGTATCCAGTTCTGGGCTCTTAGTAAGTATTTACTGAAAGAATTTATCTGAACTTAGTATTTTGAATATTAAAATTTATTATATTAGAGCCCTCCTTGAAGAAAGCAGATATTTAAAAATACAAATAAACAGCTGAACCTGTTATTTCCTAATGTAAAACCTGTCAGGAAACTAGACATCTGAATTTTAACATACAGCAAGGCAAAAAAGAGAAATAAAAGATGAAATAAAACTATCAGATGTTAACAATTATCAAAGATGAGCGAAGGGTGGGTTGGAGATGGGACTCTATCTCTGAATATAACTGCAAATTTCCAATTAAAAGGTGTTTTTTAAAGCTCACCTAAGCTGGGCACCAGCGGCTCATGCCTGTAATCCTAGCTACTCAGGAGGCAGACATCAGGAGGATCGTGATTTGAAGCCAGCCCTGGGTAAAACCCTTTTTAGAAAAAACCCAACACAGAAAAACTGGTGGAGTGCCTCAAGTGGTAGAGCACCAGCCAAGCCAAGTGTGAGGCCCTGAGTTCAAATCCCAGTGCCACCAAACAAAGAAGCTCACCTGAATGTGAATAAAAGAATAAAAAAAAAAAAAAAAAAGCTCATCTGAAATCAACTGAATAGCTTGGATTTAGCAAATGTAAGCAATTTTCTTTTCTTTGAAATAACCAGTGACAAAATTCTTATCATGCTTATGTGTAAATACAGCATACCTGTAGCATAAGATGTAAATTGGTCACTTTCTGTGCAGACCAGCCTGAATTTTCATCTCCAACTTCAAACCAAGGTTTCATACGCTGGATATATGAGCCTTCTTTAAAAAAATTTTGATTTGAATTGTTGTTTTTTAATAAGTTTTGAAGCAAAATCAAACAATCTTCCACTACTATACCTGGGGAGAGAGTATAAAATGGAGATATTAAGGTTGATAAAATTTGAAGGAAAATTTAATCTCCAAACATTTTTAAAAAGATAAATCTCCAGGCTCAGCATCTCTTCAGTATGGCAAAGCAGACAGTCTGTTAGGACTTCTGACAGGCACAGACCATAATCTGCGTGCTGTCTCACAGGTCCTCCCATGCTCCTACTAGTTGAGCTGTGTGTTTACAATCACTTTAAATAAAAAGACTTTTTAGAGCAGTCTTAGGTTTACAGAAAAACTGAGTGCGAATAGTGAAAGTTTTCATATATTCTCTCCCTCCTAGTTTCTCCTATCACCAACAACTTACACTAGTGTGGTACATTTATTACAATTTACACAGTTATTTAAACCCACAGCTTATATTAGGGTTCACTCTGTGCTACAAAGTTCTATGGATTTTGACAAATATATAATCTCATATATATCTATCATTACAGTATCATATAGAATAATTTTATTGCTCCGAAAATACCATTTTACCTATTTATCCTTTCCTTTCTCCCACCCCTGATTCCCTGGTAAACACTGATATTTTTGTGCCACTATAGTTTTGCCTTTCCCAGAATACTACATAGTGAAAATCACCAACAATATGCATTTAAAGTTTCTCCATGTCTTTTTCATGGTTTGAATAAGGTTTCTGTTTCTCTTAAGTAATATCCAATTGCATGCATGTACAGTTTCTCTTTCCATTCACCTACTGAAGGACATCTTGGTTACTTACAAGTTTTGGCAATTATGAATAAAGTTGCTATGAACATTCATTCATGTGTGGTTTTTTGTGTGGATATAAATTTTAAACTAATTTGGGTAAATATCAAGGAGCGTCATTGCTTGATCACATGGCAAAATTCAATTGGCTTTGTAAGTAACAGCCAAACTGTCTTCCAAAGTGGTTGTACCATTATGCATTTCCTCCAGCAATGAGTGAGTTTCTCAAGCACTCTACCCCTTGAGCCATTTTTGCTCTGGTTATTTTTAGAGATGGGGTTTCACAAACTATTTTGCCTAGACTGACTTTGACCCTCAATGCTCCCAATCTCAGCCTCCCACGTAGCTAGGATTACAGGCGTGAGCCACTGGTGCCTGGACCTGATGACACATGATTTTGAGCATTTATTCGTATGCTTACTTGCCATCTGTGTATCTTCTTTGGTGAGGTGTCTATTCAGATCTTTTGCCCATCTTTAAATTGACTTATTTTGTTATTGTTTAGTTGAAGAGTTTATGGTAAATTTTGGATGTAAGTCTTTTTTCAGATGTGAAGTTTGAAAATAATTTTCTCCCATCTGTGGCCTATCTTTTCATTCTCTTAACAGTGTCTTAGATTGAAGAGCACAAGTTTTCAAGTTTAATGAAATCCTATTTATCAACTTTTTTCTTTCAAGGATCATGCTTTTGATAATATATCTAAGAGCTAATTGTCTCTGTTTGCAATTTGTCATGCTATTTACACTTGTTATTAATTAAATATTATGTAAATTGCCAAAATATAAATGTGAAAAGAGATATTTTTATAAAAACTAAATTAAGTTTTTGGCAAAACTCAATGAAAGCAAATCATTAAAAACAGCTAGCTGATTAAATATGGATAACACAATTCTAAATGATAAGGAAAGAACTGTAAAAACACTAAAAGATTCTGCATTCTATTTCAAAGAAGCCATAATGCAAATTTTACATGTCAAATTACAGGTATTGTATCTAGAAAGAGGATTATGAAAACTTCCATCAACAGACAACAACTATGCAGAGAAAAAGTCCTGGTTCCAACTAAAAAAATTAGTATTTAAACATACATGTTGGGCTGGAGGTGTGGTTCAAGCAGGAGAGCACCTGCTTTTTAAGAACAAGGCCCCAAGTTCAAACCCCAGTCCCACAAATAAATAACAGAAAAATCTGTAAAACAAAACAAAACAAAATCCCCAAGAACATACATAATAATTCTATTACATTTAGCTTAAAAATAGTTTTTTTTTCTTTTGGTGCTGGGATAGCTTTAATCGCTTTTAAAGACTCTCTGTTTTAACCAGTCTGGATCTCTCTACAGTAGAGGCTTCTTTACCTCATATTGCTGAACATATGGATCCTCACCTTATAAGGAGTTATAAAGAACTACTGGAACCTATTTTAGCAACCCTGAAGGCTAGTTAATTCCACTTTACATTAAAACCCCATTTTCCTCACTCACCTCCAAAAACATACACCTCTCTGGTCATTTATGCTCTCTCATTTTTCATCTTTGGGTTTCCTCTCCCTCACTTAACCTTATTTTAAAACCATGATTCTGTCTCAAAATCTCAAATACTGATGAATAAAATCTGCTATACCCTCAACTACTTCTTGAAATGTTCCTTTAACAAATCTGCTTTATCCTGCAATGCTCTCAAATAAAGGCATTGAATGATATGAGTTGCATGAACCTCAAAGCTAGGATGCTGAATCTTTGATCTTCTGAGTACAGTGTATTTTCCAGAGACCACAGCTCCTCTACCCTCTTATAAAAAACTCATGCTCCCTTGAGGTTCACACTATCTGGCTAGTCCATCTCTTGCTACTCCTCATCACAGTTACATAACAAATTTGTGGTCACTGGTCTTTGCTCACTGAAAATCTCATAAGTATCTTGTTCAAAGTATTCTTTCTCTAAGTTGTACTGTCATTCTTGATTTTCAATGACAACAACAGCCCAATTAACATCTGGACCTCTCAGTTCTGTGGTCTCATCTTCAATAACAACTTTTACTCTTACTAAAACTTTCTGACTCAAATATTCTCAATTTATCTGTTCTATGGCTTCTTGGCTTTCCTGAGAGCTTTAATCCATCAACTAGGTCCCTTTCTCCCTTTCTAGAAACCCTTTTCTATCTTCACTTCCTTCTCTATATCTTACAGTATATAAATCTTCATTTTTTCTATTCAACAGATAATATGTTGAGCACTCTGGTCTTGCTGTCTTCATTAAACCATCCTGGAAAAGGTCTAACCCTGTGAAAAACTGACTTTTCCCCCTATACTTTCATCTAGGCAGCATACAACTGGGGGGAAGCAAAGTCACACAATCAAGCAGTGTGCAGTGCTGTATTGTGGTAAACACCCTAAATGGGCTTTAGCCCTGACTGGAAGTTTTAATTATAGTAATCAACTAGCTCTTCTATTCTCCAAAAGACTAACTTTCTCCACTAATTTTCGACTGTGTCCTCGTCCTTCACTCTCAACATATGACTCTGTCTTCAACTTGACCCCCTATCACTGAATCTGCAAAAGGATCTTCACCTACGCCTAATGAAAGAGAAAATGCAGCACAACAGGTTTGGAAAAGATATAGTTAAGACTTTTCAGAAATGATGAAAGACACCAAACTAGATCACAGAAGCCTAACAAATATGAAACATGATAAGGAAAAAGAAATCCATATTCAAGACGCCATAGTGAAAGAAAGAGTATGATATAGGAGTTCCCATTTCTTGTTCCATGTGTTTCCCTAGAAGCTAACAATTCAGTCAGCAGAAAGGAATCTCTTCAAACTATACCTCCATCACTGTTTCCCTCCTCTGTGATTATGTCCAGTAGTCTTTCAAAAGCATTTTCAAAAGCAACAATTTTTTGGATTGCTCCATTGCTTCTTGTTAGTGCCTGTAGTAGTAAGACACCCTGATAGAGAAGAAAAATAATGTTTAGTGGAGTACAACACAAGATATTTAAAAATTACTTTAAAAATCATAAAATATTAGAACTGACAGGAATTTCACAAGCTCAGCTTCTTCACTTTAAATGTACGGAAAACAACAACAGAGAAGTTAAGCAACTTGCCTTCTCTAAAGTCTCAAAGGGATAGAGCCTTGACTAGAATCCACATCTAACAACTAGCTCAATTCTCTTTCCACTGTATGATATAAGTATATGATTCCTTCATATTCATCAATCACTATATAGTTTTCATTGTTCCTTAAGTGAGTTATACCTCAGGAATGTCACTGAACATGCTTCGCAACAACAATAAATAAATCAACAAATACTACACATATCTGGTAGAACTTCTAGAAAGATCAGAAATTCTTGTCAATATCTGGTTTCCAAATTCCTAAAACTTGATCTAAATCTATAGAAAAAAGCTGAAAGTCATACTTTATGAATACCATGTCCAGCAAAAGAAAGTTCATAATAGTCTTCTCCTCTTGCAGTTTTTCTCAGCTTAAGTCAGGTTTAGTTGATTTATTTTGGCACCTCTTTCTCATCCTAAAAAAACCCCTCACTTTTCTGCTTATTACCCATTTCTGCTAGTTTTAGTATCAAAGAGCAAGGACTTCTGAGCCCTAAGTGACCACAATGGTGAAAAAGACAGCAAATACATTATGAAAACAGCAGCTATTATTAGTTCAGAAGAAGCAGATAGGTAGTTCAAAAGTCCCATAGAGGCAATCAACTATTGGCTGTTGGTACTGGGTCGGTTAAGTATTCACACAACACCAAAAATGCTCACAGCCTTATTGGCTTGTTCCATTCATTTTCTTGACAATTAAGCCTCAATTCTAAGGTAAGAGAGAAAGGCAAGAGAGGTTATTTTCAGAGGTCAAATGCTGCCGACGTAAGTTTAACTGTTAAGAAAGGAAGAAGAAATACAGTAGGAACAACATAGTGGCTCTGGGTTTGATAAAGTATGCTTAAAAAGCAGATGCCCTACTCACTAGATGTTCAACTCAAAGCAAAACACATAAATTCTGAGTCTTGGGCTGGGAAGAGTAGCTTAGTGGTACAGTGCCTGCCTAGCAAGCGTGAGGCCCTGAGTTCAACTATCCAATAAAGTCAAAAATAAACAAAAATAAATAATTTAAAAACATTCCAAGTCTCAGTATACTTTGTAAAATAGGACAGTATCTTTTCCACAAGATTTTAAGTAAAGACTGAAGAATGTAAAATAGCTTCCATAGAACATACTATGTTCTAAATTTCAATACTTGTTAGTTTCTTTTCCCTGTATCCTTTGCATAGGTTAACTAAAGCCAAAGAAAAAATGGCTATAAAACATGTAAAAACTAAGAATCCAGACATTACAACAAAAAAGCAGAACTTAATCCCTCATAAAAAAAGAATATATATATATATATATATATATACATATATATATATATATGTATATATGTATATATAAGGAATCATATCATCTGTCTCAAAAATTGCTTTAAAAAGGTTAGGAACAGAAAAAAAGGGAGTGGGAGAGTTAAAAGAAAACAGTAGATTTAAGAGCCAAGATGATTCAGCTATAAATAAAACAAAACAACAGCAAGAGAAGTCACACATGGTGGTACATGCCTGTAATCCTAGCTACTTGAAGAGGCAGGAGGGTTGAGAGATCAAAGTCAGCCTGTGCAAAAGTCAGCAAGAGCCTATCTCAGGAACAAAATAAAAGCAAAAGGACTGATAGCATAGCTCAAGTGGTAGCATGCTTGCCTAGTAAGCCCTGTGCCCTGAGTTCAATCCCTACTACCACCAAAAAAGAGGTGATTTTTTATGTAAAAATTAAAATAAATGGTAATGACATTAAAATAAATGGTAATAACATTAGTAGAAATTTAGGGGGACAGAATTTCTTCATTAAATAGATTTTTATTGTGTGGTATCTTCTTATTTAAACTGAGAGCAAAGAGAACAGAACAGAAACTATAGGTTTAAAATACAGTCATATTTTAATCAAGGAAATCATTCTAATAGATTATTTCAAAAGATGAACGCTCATTTAAAAATAACATTTAAGATGGACACTGAGGGTACATGTCTGTAATCCTACTGTGTGGAAGGCTAAGGCAAAAGGGTCATGAGTTCAAGACTAGCCTTGGCTACATAGTGAGACCCTGTCTCAAAACAAACAAGTAAATATTTAAATATTAAAGAATAAAATATGTTGTTCTCATAAGTTACACTACTACATAATTTTATTGCCCATACACTATTGCTGTGATATACATACTACAAAATGTGAAATCTAAGTTAAAATTTTCTATGTAGACTAGAAGACAAGAGTTTTGTTTAGTTTTGTTTCTGCTTTGCCACTAACCAGTTATTAAACTAAGAGTAATCCAAATGATATTCACTAGAATCTAGGATGAGAAAGGCACAGAACAGGAACCACAAATACAAAGATGAATATGAGCAAGACAAGACTGACAAAGAACACGTCACTTGGGTTCTATGGCTCTCAGGTTTCTCACTGTAAACATGAAGAATGAATTAGCTTGATATGTTCTTTCAGCTCTACAGTTTAATTTTTAAAAGATTCTTCCAAGCTGGGTGTGGTGGTGCATGTCTACAGTCCCAACACTCAGAAGGCCAAGGCAAGATCACAAATTCCAGGTCAACTTGGGCTCCACAGTGAGAACTGATCTCCAAAAATAAGAAAAGATTTTTCAAAATGCTGTCTAATGTGTTACAGATTTATGATCATGTTGTAGGAAACAACACAGAAAAATGTTCAAACAACAAAGCAATATAGCATTAATATAAAATATTCAAACTTACACACAAATATTAAAATAAATGTCAGTATGGAAAATACAAAGCAAATTACGCTCTATAGTTAAACAGAAATTATCAAGGAAAATTCTAGGAAATACATACTCCATCAAATGAGAGTGGGGAATGCTAAATGCAGTATTTTGCTAAGTTTACACAGTTCAACATCTGGGAATGTTTCTTCTGCTTTTAGGAGGACAAGGAAATTCTTTAGAGAGGGTGGAAGATAGCCTAAATTTGTGGAAGGAATAAATTTGAAGAGCAAAATGGTTTAACTGAAAGGTAGAAAACAAAGAAATAATTCGGTCTCATATATAACTTAAAAAGGGCTAAAAGATTAACTATTACCCTGACTTTCCAAATCTAACTTCCTATAACTCGTAATGCAGTCAACAAGGATTTTATTTACAAAGAGAAAAAAGAGATGCATATTCTTGGATGTTTTTCATATTTAACTTACATCATTACGTATAACTTCCCTGGAATCCGCTAATAAATCCATCAGTCTTGAAACACCTAGAACATAAACCAGGAGAAAAATACTGACAGACCAAAAATAGAAATAGTGATTCAAATTATAATTTATTAAAACACTGTTTCAATTACTTTCTCTAGGAAATGATCTTCATTTTTTAAGGAAAGGAAGTCACTTACCCATGGGACTAACTAAAATAATTTGTTGCACCTGAGGCCCCAGTTGTTTTAGAAGAGAAGTCAGAAGCTTCACACCAGGCCAGCGGACATGGAAATCAAATTCCTGCAATATAGAATTTAAAATATTTAACATTTATAATTCAAATTTTCAAGAAAAACAATTTATCAACTAATAGTAGTACCAGAAACTACAAGTAAAAACTGGAAGCATGGCAAATGTGTAACAGGTAATTTTAAGAAATAAAAAGCAACATAAAGAAAAGAGTTAATGTGAATTGATTAAACTGACTAAAGTGTTAGTGATGAAATTAACCTTATTTCTGTTTTTACAAACAGGCAGACAATATTTTAACATGTATTTCTTGAAAAATGCACATGGATCTCTTACATTCATGTAGAAAGTATACGATAAAACAACTTCAGTACCTTTAAAGGTACACACATTGCTTCTTCAAACACTCAAAAAGGCAGTAAAGGAAGCTTATTAAGATGGCAAAAACATCAAGGATCCCTATTTACCTCCAATAAAGATAACAGGAGAGTGACATTTTCTGGCTGCTTAATGAAAATTTCTGTAAACTGGCTTCCCAAATCCTCACTCTGTCTTGTGGAATTTTCTTCTGTAATATTCAAAAATAAAGTACTTCAACATGATTATACATTATTTTAAAGTATCTCTTCTTGAGGAATTAAGCAGAAATGATAATTTTCTTGATATTTAAACAATACAACACTGGAACAATATGACTAATATTCATGTCACAATTATAGGGGAAAGCTATATTCTTGTAGAGGGAGTACTGGGGCTTGAACTCAGGGCCGTGTGCTTGTTAAGCAGTGCTCTACCACTTGAGCCATGCTTCCATCCATTTTTTCCTTTAGTTATTTTTCAGATAGGGTCTCATACTTTTTGCTGGGGTCAGCCTCAAACTGTAATTCTTCAATATATATGCTTCCTGTATAGCTGGGATTATGGTAGTGAGCTACCATACCTGGCCTGAAAGTTGTATGCTTTAAACAAGTTTAAACGCCCTTTAAATGTCACATTTCCTGAAGAACATAAGGTTAAACTTCTTTTTTTAGGGGCGCAGCACTGGGGTTTGAACTCAGGGCCTCACACTTGCTAGGCAGGCGTTCTACCACTTGAGCATTCCGCCAGCCCTTTAGTGTGATGGGTTTTTCAAGATAGGGTCTCATGAACTATTTGCCAGGGCTGGCTTCAAACCGTAATCCTCCTGATCCCTGCTTCCTGAGTAGCTAGGATCAAAGGCGTGCACCATAGGTGTCTTGCTAGGTTAAATTTCTATTACCAAGAGAATTATTTGGAGTGACAAAAATATTCTATCTTGAATGTGGTAGTAATTACACTACAGTGACGGTTTTGTTGTTGTGTTGTTTTCCTGTGGTGCTAAAAGTCAGACCATGGGCCTTGCACATGGTAGCCAAACATTCTAACACTGCTGCATCCTCAGCCCTGACCATTGCATTGTGTTGTCCAAACTCACAAGACTATCTAACTTCAAAGAGTACATTTTATTGTACATAAATCTCAAAATTCCCTTCTCAAAATACTATTGAACGTATACTCCTGGCTGATTATTACCGCCACCGTGTTAAATAACTTAATTATAAAAGTAGATCAACTAAATTGGCAATAAAATTAGAATTTAACATATAATTTCTTTAAAAGATTTGTTCTTTAAAAAATTATATTATTCTTTTCTTTTTCCCTCTCTTTCTACTTCCTACAGCTAGGATCTTGCTATGTAGCCCAGGCTGGCCTTAAACTCATTATTCTCCTGCCTTAGCCTCAGGAATGCTGGGATTGCAAGAGCATGTCACCATGCCCAGCTACATATTCCTTTAATGCTTCAAAATTCTCTGAACTATTAATTTCAATATACTTTGCCAAACAAATGTAAAGGTTCAGTAAAAATGGAAGTAACAACTGCCAAAGCAAATTAGCACTTAAGATCTGCTTACATTACGAAATCAATACTACTCACCACCATTCCCTTAGCCGTACCAGACAGAGCTAAGTGAGCATAATAGATGCTGAGCAGCAGAATCCTTTTCCACATATTGTTCCAGGCAAGGACGATAACCCAATGGAACTGGCAGTCACCAAACTTGCTTACTAGTCCTCAGAAAGTTTTAAATTGTTTTTAAATTTGAGATTTTAATATTAATAAAGTATACAAATGGAAAAAATAAATCCCAGCTGATGACAGAAAAAACAGAGCAATCAAGAGTGACAGTGACAATCCCACTGAATTATTTGTAGAGGAAAGAGAAAAAAAAAAGAGAACAAATGTATTTTCCAATACTGATTATTCATCTAGATATGGTAGGTTTATCCTTCGTTAATACTAAGGAATATTTCTCTTAACCATCTCTTGTATTATTCATTGTTTCTGAGCCTTAATCAAATCCTTAAGCAAAAAACATGTTTTAAAAGAATTACTCTGCTATGCTGAGAATATTGTCAGGCAGCAAAGGAAGCAAGGTAACAGGTCAGGAGGCAATAAGCAAGGTTAGAGGTCAAAATATTTTAATGAAAACAGAGGGAACAGGGCTTGCTCAAATATACATAGAGGGGTATGAGAAATTTTTTTAAATGATCCAAGATTTAGGTCTGAAAAACTGGGAAGATAGAAACACCATTTACTGAGATGGGAAACACAGGGAGAAGCAAGTTAGGATACAATCACATGTTTGATTTTGAATGTTAAGTTTGAGACCCTTATGAAAATCCAAAGGAAGTATCAAGTTAGCAGATGGATAAATGTAAGAAGAGTGTCAGTGCAGAGGCCTGGGATGGATACAAGCACTAGAAAGGTAAATAGATAAATGATACTTAAAGTAAGAAAACTAGATGACAAGGACATTAAAAAAACATAAAGCTAACATCCTGCCTAGTGGTGAAGGACTGAATGCTTTCCCCTTAAGTTCAGGAAGAAGCTAAGAATGCCCACTCTCAACAATTCTAGCCACACTGTAATAAAGATTCTGCTCAGTGTTGTGAAGTAGGACAAGAAATAAAAGGCTCAGAGAAAGGAAAAAGTAAAACTGTCATGTTTATGTGGAAAATCTTATGGAATCTACAAAAACATTATTAGAATTAGTAAGTGAGCTTAACAGCTGGGATGCAGGCTAGTGGCAAAGCACTCGCTCAGCATGTATGAAGCAATGCACTGAAAAAAACTGTGACATATGTATGTATATAATAAAATATTACATTGCCTTGAAAAACATTTTGGCAGTTGATAATGTGTGTGTTTGTGTGTGTGTGTGGTAGCAGGTGGCAGCTGGAAATGTGACTAAGTGGTAGAGTGCTCCTGGCTCCTACTGCCACCACTGAAAAAAAAAAGGTGGGGGAGGTTAGCAAATCTGTAAGATAAAAGGTGGTACATAGCTTAAGTGGTAGAGTGCAAGCACAAGACCTTGAGTTCAAACCCCAGTACTGCCAAAAAAAAAAAAAAAAGATTCAATATACAAAATTGTATTTAGCTATATTTCTATTTATTAGCAATGAACAATTAGAAATTAAAATTTAAAAAACAGTACTATTTACAACAGCATCAGAAAGGATAAATTTGACAAGATGTATACACAACTTACACTGTGAAAATGCTACAAGAAAACCTAAGTAAGTAAAAAGATATACTATATTCTTATATTATAAGCCACAATACTGTTAAGATGTCAGTTTTCCTATACTCGCTTCAGCAACACATACACTACAATTAGAATGATACAAAGACTAGCATGGCCCCTGCACAAGGATTACACACAAATTTGTGAGGCGTTCCATTAAAAAAAAAAAAAAAGATGTCAGTTTTCCTGAAATCAAGCTAGACAGTCAACAGAACCTCAGTCAAAATCTCAGCTGGCCTTTTGTTGGTAACATTTACAGGCTGATTCTAAAAGTAATATGCAAAAAGAAAGAATCTAAAACAGTTAAAACAATTCTGAAGAGCTGTGCATGGTAGCTCCAGGCTGCAATCCTAGCTATGCGGGAGGCAGAGATCAGAGATCAGAAGAATCACAGTTCAAGGCTAGCTGTTTCTAAAGACCCTATCTTCATCAATAAAAGTTGGGCATGGTGGTGTGCATCTTTCACCCCATCTACAAGGGAGTCATAAATAAGAGGATCACAGTCTAGGTAAGTCTAGGCACAAATGTGGGACCCTATTTAAAAATTAACCAAATTAAGGGCTGGGGGCATGTCTCAAGCGATAGGGAGCCTGGCTAGTAAGCTCAAGACCCCGAGTTCAACCCAAGTAGTACCAAACAGGTAGAGAGGAATGAAAGGATTAAAAAAGAAGTCACTTAAAAGCTACCATCATAGCTGGGAAGCAGTGGCTTTTGGCTGTAATCCTGGCTACTTGGGAGGCTGAGATCAGGAGGATTAAGGTTCAAGGCCAGTCCAAATAGTTTGAGGGACCCTCCCCCAACTTCAAAATAACCAGAGCAAAACAGACTGGAGGCATGGCTCAAGTGGTAGAACACCTGCTTTGCAAGGATGAAACCTTAAGTTGAAATTCCAGTCCCATCAAAGGGGGGAGAAAAAGCTACCATCATGATACTGCATGCTCACTGACATGTTGAGGGTATTATATAAGGCAGCAGAAGTTTAGTGCTCCAAATGCCTAATTTAATCCTAAGAAAGCCTAATATTCAAATACAACTAGAGTAGTTTCAAAGAACATTCTGTGCTACGGATCTCTGCATAAAGAATTTCCTTTTGGGGCTGGCAGAGTGGCTCAAGTGGTAGAGTGTCTGTCCAGTAAGCATGGGACCCTGAGTTCAAACCCCAGTGCCACCAAAAAAAAAAAAAATTTCCTTTTGTTCTTTTGAGAGCTGATAAAATTCTGTGTTTTAACTAGTCACAGAACCCTAAAGTAAAATCTTGCTTGGTAAATTGGGACTTTCAAAGCTCAAAGGTGAATTTATGATTGGAGTTGAAAACGAAAACCAAAATCAAAACCTTGTACGAGGTACACAGCAAAAACTGTGGGCCCTTCCCATTTTATGTGCAAGTTGATGTGACCATGGAAAGGGAGACTGTACAGAAAGTGAAAAAGATATGAGAATATGAAAGCTGATAAAATCTTTAAAAAATGTTTCTCTTTAGAATCAGCTATGAATAGGAGCCCTGATTTCCAGTGTAGTAAATGCCATGTGCCCAGTGAAATATCACAGAGATTTGGTGGGGTAATGGGCCTCTCTCTTTAAAGCCACCCCAAAATCCTAATAAACTGTGGTTATGTGGGGGACCATACAAGGGACAAATATCCAGCCAAATTCTAATACAGAATTTAGCTCAGTGGTAGTGCAAGGCCCTGGGTTTGATCCCAACACCAAAAAACAAACAAACAAAAAAAGCCAAGAAAATGGAATTAAAAGTAGTCCACGGGGAACATGTGACAAATCAGCAGCTCTCCAAATGCATGAGAAATCTGTATTTAGAAGACAAGTAACAATATAACGGTTGTGGTGATACATGCCTGTAGTCCCAGCTACTTGGAAGGTTGAGACAGGAGGATCCCTTGAGTCCAGGAGTTTGAGCCCAGCCTCAAATAGCAAGACTGTTTCACTTGCTCACTCAATCAAATAAACACTTCAAAAGACAAGTAATACACTCTTTCCCTCTTAGTCTTTTCTGTCTCTAGAAATTAAGATTATAGCAATATGTTGACTCAATCACTTTTAAGGTTTATTTTCTAATTGTATACATCTATATTTGTCAACTGAGATAATATTTGTGTATATAACTATTGTGATCATGCTTTAAAAAACAGTGTATAGTGTAACTGCTTTTATCTGAGTGGTGTGACTATATTAGAGAATGTGAGCTCAACCACAGGGACAAGAAAGTAATGAGTGAGGGAAGCAGGCTGAGTGCAACACAACAGGGAGGGTGGGAAGGATATGGCCTAAGGGAGGCAGCAGTTCCTCAGCTCCAATGAACAACAGCCATGTGGGAATGCTGGCCCAGGTGTTATAAATCTCTAATAAAAAAAAAAGATGTGAAAGTTCCCAATGTGTAATACTGGCAATTGATTCAAATAATTTAAAATAGTAAATTTATGAAACAATCTTGCCTACAAGACAGACAATGTCCTTAGGCCAAAAGTTCGTGACTTCTAGAGAAAAGTGCGAAGTAAAAGTCCACTGATATTTGGGGAACTATTAAAAATTCTTAGCTAATATAAAAATGAAGGGGGAAAAATATATAGACTTGATGGAATTCATCCTATGATGAATGAAATGCTTTGTTAAAAGTTGTAATATTGATATGTAGGTAAAGACAAAACTATTCCAGGGGTTTAAATCTTGGTTAGTATTTTTCAAAATGCAAGGTAGTGCAGCATGTTGATAGTTATGTGGCAGAGCAAGTACCTGTGGGTAAAGCACCTATGGGGAAAGCTAAGCTTACCAGGCTTCTTCGCCGCAGGCTTCTCAGTGCTTACTATTCTCACATGAAGTTTATGGAGCTTCAGAAGGAACACTGCATGCCACATTTATTTAACTATTAACTTCTTTTATACAGAGCCCTCTCTAGAACCTTTGTGCTACACTTTCAGAAATGCAAGTTGAATAACAGAAGAAGTTTAATTCAATGTTTGCATTAAGCACAAGAACTAGAATTAATATTTTTAATTTATTCTGTATCATAAAAAATACATTATAACTTATCAGTATATAATTATGGTCTATATTTGCTTTTCTTATGTGTGTGGTGCTGGGGTTTGAACTCAGGGCCTCATGCATGCTAGGCAACTGCTGTACCACTGGGCTACACCCCTAGTCCAAGGTCTACATTTTTAATAGAACTAGTAAGAGATGGTCCTGTTCCAAGGATGAATGGTTCCTTCTGATTTAAGACTGTCAGTATTGATTCTGACTGTTGACGAGACACTCTACTTTTTTTTAAGTCACAGCCACAGGACAGCACTTCAAAAATTTAAAGGAGTGCCCCAAATTTGCTAAGCAATTAAGATAACACACAAAAGCTTTTAGTGGTTATTAAGCTAAAATTACTGTAAACTACTACATTAGTTGTATCTAAAAGTTGTAAACCAAAACTACAACTATGAGAAATAATATCTATTACACATTTAATCAAAGGTATGAGACAAGTAAACCATCCTCTTTCATTAACTTCTGGATACTTGTTACAATAGCTACAGCTGACTTCATTTTTTACATCCTATAGTTTATATATTATATGCTATACTTATCATAACCTGTAAAAGTAAATGACCCTTTGCTATAAGTAAAAGAATAAAAATGAAATGGTCCTTTGTTACCAGAGTAAAAATAAACCTAAAATAGATATGTAAAAGGAAAGACTACTTTTTAAAGTCCTTATATACCTCTGAAAACTTTTCAGAATTGTTATATGACTGGCTAAATACATATTTGATACATTTATTTTAAAAAAGTTTATAATTGTACTTTTTCCAAAAGTGTAAACATTATTTAAAAACATTTCTGGATCTTTCTTTGGCACTCCATTCCATACCAAGTTCACAAACAATATTATGAAGAACAAAACTGCTTTATAAAAGGAGATATTTTAATGATAGTAGTCCTAATTCAAAGAAAGGGAATAAACGGTAATCTTTTACTTTTAAAATATATAGCCATGCCTATGTATTTTAATGTTTATCTAAATCTTATCAACCAATTATGTAAATTACATAATGTAATAAAGAATTTTAGGTCAGAAAAACAAATTTTACCACAATTTATTCAATTGAAAACCTACGAATACTTAAAAAGGACAGTGAGAAATATTGTACTTCCATTAACTGCATCATACCATATAAATGACAATTTCTGGGGTTTCATTATTTTTTCATCTTTAGTACAGAGAAAAGTAACACCTACCTCACAAGCTTAATTCTCCTATGAGGATAAAGTAAGATAATAGACATGAAAGGACTCTGTGAAATTTAAAGCTCTATACAAATATGAGAAAAAAATAATAGAAAAAACTACTGATCTGTACCATCCAAAAAGGAAACAGCTTGACAAGAGTCAAAGCACAATTCTCTGATTTCAAGTAGGGATTCAAATGTCACAAAAGGTAATGATACATATCTTAGTAAGTTAGTTTCTTTGTTAATTTTTTGTTAGTTATAGTCAACTTTGTTATGTAACATTTTAAATCTACTTTAGATAGGAATATTTCATTCCTCATTTAAAAGAAAATCTCAGAAAACTAGTAAAATAAAAGAAAATAAAACTTGAATGTTATGAGGAAAAGAAATACCACTGTTAAAAGTTAATAGAACTTGAAACAGACCATTAGAGAAAAGAAAAATTTAAAGAGTTGTATGAATTATTGTAAAAAATGTCAGTAATCAGAATATTACTGGGCATGCACTGCTTTAAAGGGACAATATCAATAAGCATGTATGCTCTAAACTGGAATACCTTCTAGTTCTCATTAAATACAGGTAAATATGCATGATATATATGCATGCATATATATATTACATGTACCAAGTTTAAATAAACTAAAACATTTTTCCAGGAAGTAGACACAAATAATTTTGAATACACTGTTCTACCAGAGAAAAAGCTTTAATTTTTTTAAAAGATGTACTAGATAGAATATTTTTGTGTTCTAGATGGTAAAAAGATTTAGTAACTATAAGAGACAACAGCAACATAAGATTATCAGCTATTTCTCTTTAATAAGGAATTCTGATTTGATGAAAAAATCTGCATTTTTATCAGCCAGAATATCATTTGACAGTGTCCTTTTATATTATCAGATATTATGCCTAAAAGCATCATGCGTTTGTAAATGCAATCTTTTACCTTTAACATCATCTGAAAAGTGACAAAAATAAATAAATGAAAAGTAGGTAACAAAGAAAATAGTTTTTTATGTAGATGTATACACATTAAAAAAAAAGCTTTAAAAGGTCAAATAAGCAATACAATCTCTTGGAAAGGAGACTCATTCATTTTAGTCAAATACATGAGATATTCTAAAAGAGAGAAAAGGATATAGAATATGCTATATCTTTAGGGGTATGAGACAAATTTATCATAAATGGCCATAAAATATTCTCAAGATAAAAGAACTCTAAAAATAGTGTTCATTTTGTCAACTACTTAAATGAAACAGTAAAAAAAAAGTATTAACAATAGAACTGAAGGGCACATTTTAAAAATTGACTCGGAACAAGTAGTTTCAGAAGATAATGTCCCTAAGAAAGGTTATTCTAGGAGTGTTTATCAAAAACACTTTTTTGGGCTGGCAGAGTGGCTCAAATGGTAGAGAGTCTGTTTAGTAAGCATGAGGCCATGTTTAATCCCCAGTACCACCCCCCCAAAATTTTTTTCCCACTGTTGATCCAGAAGACTGTTGGATGCTGAATCAAAAATAAAGAGCACATTCCTAGCACCTACTTAAAAAAAAAAAAAAAAAGCCCAAATACCTAAAGGAAATTAAAACAAAACAAAAAACAAGTTCTAAGAACTTTCATCTGCTGCACCTCAGATGTATTGAAGGACAGACCGTGGAAGGTCGAGACACTTCTTCTCCCTAGGGAATGCCCGTCTGCATCTGAAAGGCATCTCTGCCCTTAGGCAATGCAAAAAAGTCTATGAAACCCCATTCCCCACCCTGACCCTGGGGATCACCAGTTTCCAGGTCCCCCTGCATTCCCCAATATGCAGTCTTTCTCTTCTCTTCTCTACAAATAAAATCTTTCCGACCTCTGCAAAAAAAAAAAGTCTTTTTCTTTAACATGTTTGAACCAGTGTGTTGCATCTAATTTTCTCGTCTTAGAAACAATTAGGGGAAGTAAGTATCTTTTTCTTCAAAATATGTTCTTTTGTGTTTTGTATCTAAGTATCATTAGGTGACCAATAATCTCCTCTTTCATGGGTACCAAATTATGTTTACTAAATATTTTTCACCCCAGAGAAATTAATAAAAATTGTAAACTAGAAATTACAGAGAAATAAAATTTGAAGAAGTATATTTAAGCCTAAGGGATTATGGCTATTCAATACAACCTCATTTCAAATTTTCCTATTACTAGGGGTTAACATCTACACAGATTCTTGCTTTAGTTTTATCTTAATGAAATATGAGCAAAGTCAATATACATCTGTATTTCTTTATGTTGTCATATGATTTCAATATAAATTAGATTTATAAAACAAATGAATGTCCTTCTTTCTAAAATAATGAAAAATGTACTGTGTCCTACAGTATGAGGAATGCACTCTTCATCAGTACTGTGAAATGTTACTTGGTGCATATATTTTTGCAATATATAGAAGAAAATGTACAGACATCCAGTCAAGCATCTCAAGTAGTGATAATAAAGTAAGGTAAATGAAGGCTACCTTACTTTACATATCCAAGTGTTTTGAAATGAGAAAGGAATAGGAGGCTGTGCCAAAGAAATGAGTGGATTTCAAACTGATTCAATAATTTCATACCAAATAGACTTAATGTAAGTGAAAAAAAAACAAAAATAAAACATCTTTCTAAATTTAGTAAAATTGTTGCTCTTTATAAGTTAACATAAGTCTTACGTAAAAAGTGTAAATATGATCAGGAAAAAACATCTTCTAACTTTATACTACTTACCAGACAGTAACACACACACACACACACACACACACACACATACCATATATGAAATAGTTTGATTTTCAATGAATAGCCACAAGGGGTTATTTAACTCAGAACTGGTTAATATACATCCTGTCTAATTAGAACCAAATACAAAGAGGGGAAAAATACATTTGAAAAAGAAAGATCTCCCAGCTACTTGGGAGATGGAGATTGGGAGGATCATAGTTTTAGGCCTACCAGAGCAAAAAAGTTAGCTAGGTGTGGTGGCATATATCTGTAATCCCAGCTATTCAACAGGCATAGATTGGATGATGCCACAGTCAGGCAAAAAGTCCAAGAACTTATCTGAAAAATAACTTAAGTACAAAAGAACCAGGGCATGGCTCAAATGGTACAGTACCTGCCTAACAAGCTGGAAGCCCTCAGATCGAACCCGAAACAACAACAACAAAAGGAAGCCCTAACAACAAAAAGCATGGTGATACACATCTATAATTCTGGCACTTGGGAGGTCAAGGCAGGAGAATCTCAAGTTCAAAGTCACCCTGGGCTATACAGTGAGACCTTGTCTCTTAAAATAAAATAAATAGAAAAAAAAGGAAGGATCTTATTACATCTCATCATAATTTCCAAACAAATTAGCATCATCCTAGAGTTACTTTTTAAGGAATAGTTTCAATGTTTTCATTGATTTAAAAAAATAATTTAAAAAGAAGAAAAAATCTTATGTATAAACTTATAAAATAAAATCAACTTTATATCAGCAAAATTGGCACAACTCAGTTTTGTAAAAAAAAAACAATAAAATACTGGAAACTTACCTACTTCTTCTTCTTCATCATTAGATATTATATTATACAGTGTGTCCAAAGCATAACCTATTATTTCAGAATCCGAACTGGAAAAAAGAAATTTATTATACTTATACACTGCTGGCTAGAGTGTAAACCATTATAACCAAGTTTATACAGTTATTTAGCAAAACCATATGAAATTCCATTTCTAAAAACCTACTTAAGTATCACTGTAAAGAATGTGTAAAGGGTTGGGCACCAGTGGCTCATGCCTGTAATCCTAGCTACTCAGGAGGCAGAGATCAGGAGGATCACGATTCAAAGCAGACTGGGGAAACAGTTCATGAGACCCTATCTGGGAAAAATCCATCACAAAAAAAAAAAGGGCTGGTGGAGTGGCTCGAGGTGTAGGCCCTGAGTTCAATCCCCAGAACCAAAAAAAAAAAAAGAAAGTGTAAAGGCTTATCATCTATAATTGTAAAAATTTAGAAACAACCTAAATGCCTAACAATCAAAATTAGAGTATGGCAAATCCATACATATAAAACAGAAATGAAAAAATTGTATTTTCAAAGAATATTTAATGGCATGGTAATTTAAAAAACCATAATATAATGCCAAGTAGAAAAAAATTGAATCAAAAAATTAATGGATGGAATAATTCCATTTAGCAAAATATATTATGTGTATACGTGTGTGTATATATACATATACACATATATATATACACACCACATAAAAAAATATATATATGTATATATATAAACTTGTACGATAAACTTTAAAACCACCAAAATTGGGCTGGGGGCATGGCTAAGTGGTAGAGCACTTGCAGGCAGGTGGAAGGTCCTGAGTTCAAACTCCAGCACCACCAAAAACAACAATAAAAAAAAAAAGACAGCAAAATATGGTTAATTTTATGCATGTGTACATCTATATAAAAATAACGTTATCTGTAGATGTGGATGGACTACCCTTTTCTACACTTTATTCTCCTAAGAAAGCATCTCATGGAAAATACATACAACTTGTAAGAGTAGGAAGTATAAGATTCTGTAATTGCTTATAGACAAATTTTGAAATCATATAGGATGATGATAGTACCCTAAGTAGCAAGAGTAAAATACAGGTCTGAAAGATCCAGTGAATGTGATGAAGTCATCAGCAGTGATAGATGAAAACAAAGACAACAGACAAAGAGGGTTACAATCACAGGATGTAAATATTGGATGAACTGGGTTTTTACACAAATTATTATTGTTTTGTTTGTGAGAAATTTTGAAGGGTATCTGACAAGAGAAGACTGAGAAACCAGGAATACAGGAGAACTCCCTCAATATGATAAAGGGTACCTATAAAAACTCCACATGAGAAATTTTGAAGGGTATCTGACAAGAGATGACTGAGAAACCAGGAATACAGGAGAACTCCCTCAACATGATAAAGGGTACCTACAAAAACTCCACAACTCAGAGTTAGCTAGGGATGTAGTTCAGTGGTAGAGAACTTGCTTAGCAAGTACAAGGCCCTTGCTTTGATCCCCATTATTACGCCAAAACAAAACAAAGCAAAAAACCCACAACTGTACATACTGGTGAAAGACTGAATGCTTTTCCTCTAAGAACAAGAATATGACAGCAATGCCCCCTCTTACTACTTCTATCCAACACTGAAATAGAAATTTTAGCTAGAACGATATACAAGAAAATGAAATAAAAGGCATAGATATGGAAAGGAAGAAATAAAACTACACCTATTCTCAGATGAGCTATCTTTGACATAGAAAATTCTAAGGAATCCACTAAAAACTGTATAACTACTAAATTCAGCAGTCACAGAATTCAAGCTCAATATACAAAAATTGAACAATTTGAAAATGAAACTAAGAAAACAATTTCATTTAAATAACATCAAAAAGACAGGAATAAATAAAATTTATTTTAAATTTTACTAAAAAAAGTACCTGATTTGAGAATGGATTCAACACAATTCCTATCAAAATCCTAACTGCCATTTTTACAGACACTGACAGAACAGACTGATCATAAAAAGTTATATGGAAAGGCACAGAATAACCAAAACAATCTTGAACTGGAACAACAAAGTTGAAGGACTTATACTTCCTGAGTTCAAAACTTAAGAACAAAGTCACAGTAATCAAGACTAGAGCTGGGAATATAGCTCAATGGTAGAGCACTTGTCTAATATGCATTAAGGACCAGGGTTAAATCCCAGTATAGAGTGGGGGATGTGTGGCACTGGGATAAGAACAGACATATAAACCGGGGGCCTGTGGCTCACGCCTGTAATCCTAACTACTTAGGATTAATCTTTATTAATCATTATTCAAGATTAGACTGGGCAAATAGTTTGTAAGACCCCCATCACCAAAATAACCACAGCAAAATGGACTGGAGATGTGGCTCAGTGGCAGAATGTCTGCTTTGCAAGCACAAAGACCTGAGTTCAAACCAATCCCACCCAAAAAAAAAAAAGGGAAGAAAAAGAAAACACAAATAGCTCAACTAAATAGAATGGAAAGTCTATTCTATTTAGTTATTCTAATTAGTTAATGGAAAGAAACAGTAACATTTATTTCAACCGAGACCATTCAAAGAGGAAGAAAAGTTTCTTTAACAAGTGGCACAGGGTCAGTTAGAGACCTACACATGAAAAGAATGAAATTAGATCCCTCATATAAAAATCAACTCAAAATGAATGGAAGACCTAAACGTAATGGCTAAATTTTGTATTAGGATTTTTATTTTTTTTAAAGGTAGGACACCAAAAGCACAACAAAAAATAAAATTGGAGCCAGGTGCTGGTGGCTCACATCTGTAATTCTAGCTATGCAGGAGGCAGAGATCCAGAGATGATCACAGTTAGCAGTCAGCCAGGCAAATAGTTCCTGAGACCCTATTCTGAAAATACTTAACAGAAAAAGGACTGGTGAAATGACTTAAGGTGTAGGCCCTAAGCTCAAGCACTGGTACCACAAAAAAAATAAATAAAGGATAAAACTGGACTTCATCAAAATTAAAAACTTTTGTGCTTTAAAGGACACAATCAAGAAAGTGAAAAGCAATCCACAGAATTAAAGAAAATATCTGAAGACAATATATCTAAAAAGGGACTTATATCCAGAATAAATAAAAAACTACTATAACTCAATAATAAAAGATGACTAAACCAATTTAAAAAATGGGCAAACTATGAAAACAAATGTCAGTAACAGATATTAAAATTGTCAGTACACACATGAAGAGATGATCAACATTATCAGTCATCAAGAAAACGCAAATCAAAACCACAATCAAAAAATGAAATTAAGAAATACCAACTTTTGGTGTTAGGAATTCTAGCTAAGTCATAGTACTTGCCTAGCAAGCACAAGGCCCTGGGATCAATCCCCAGTTCCTTGGGAGAGGGAGAATATCACTTTGTATCCACTAGGATGGCCATTTAAAAAAAAAAAAAGACAAATCTAGCATGGTGGTACATGCCTATAATCCCAGCCACTTGAGAAGCTGAAGCAGAAGGATTACAAGTTTGAGGCCTGCCTAGGCAGCCCTGTCATAAAATAAAATAGGGATAAAGGGATGTGGGTCTGGCTCAGGTGGTAGAATGCTTGTCTAGTAAGTGCAATTCTCTGAGTTCGAACCCCCAAATAAATAACTAAATAAACAAATAAAATAAAATAAAGGGCTGGATGTATAGGTCAGTGGTAGAGCACTTGCCTAGTATGTTTGAGGTCATGGGTTTCAATCCCTAGGACCACACACACACACACACAAAACAGCAAGGAGAACTTAAGGTCCCTGGGTTGTTAGAGAGTTTGGTGAATGTGCTGTAGTATTTTGACCAAGGTTATGAAGCACCTGGCATGTGCTACAGCACTGGTGGAAGAAGAAATCTGCAAGATGTGACCTAGTAAGCACTACCCAAGCTACATGACAGCCCTGGATTTTTCTGCTTATGAAACTGACATAAAGAGAAATTCCACAACCAATGGAAGTGCTCACATAGTATGAAAGGATATGAATGTCCAGCCTGTCTCAGGAAAGTGACCATTACTGCATGGCAAGAATGTGGCCCCATGAGAGCATCAAACAGTTCAAATTGAGATCCTGGAACTAACGCCACAGCATTACCTGGAAAGTATATAATGATACTCTATTTATATGATTGAACATGCACAGAAAAAGCTTTAGAAATTAAGGAAACATATTCAAGATTTAAACTGTCAGCAAAAGAACATGCAATTCATAGCTGGATCTAAATTGAGACTATTGGAGTCAAACTGGGTCAGCAAAAACTATGAGACTATAAGTTGGGTGCTAGTGGCTTACTTCTGATATCCTAGCTGCTCAGGAGGCAGAGATCAGGAGGATCTTGATTCAAAGTCAGCCCCAGGCAAATAATTTGTGAGACCCTATCTCAAAAACACCCAGTACAAAAAAACCCAGAGATGGTGGAGTGGCTCAAGTGTTAGAGCCCCTGCTTAGGAAGCGTGAAGCCCTGAGTTCAAACCACATATTGCCAAAAAGAAAAAAATTATGAGACTATGCTGTGAATAATACAGTCCTGACATCAACAATGCTTTTATTCAAATGTATTAAGCTTATTTGGTTTTGAAAAGGTAGTCGATATCAGCTATACTATCTGGGGAAAAGGAAGAAAGATCCTAAGTAGTTTAAGCAAACAGGTACTACACTATAACTGAAAAGGGGGCTATGATATTAGACAGATTGGAAATACCCAGATCCTTAAAAAGCTTACATTCTTTGCTTCAGGTAATTTGAGTTTCACACTATACTGAGCTAGTGAAACACACTAAACACAGTAAGTGATAGAGAACAGAGGCAAAGGAAATAGTTTTTGAAGGTGGTGGTAGTTTTAAACTATGTCCAAAATTCTTTGATATGATGCTTTTCAAAAGGTAGGACCTAAATTAACCTCCTCTTAAGTTTAGGCAGTACTTATTAACTTACTTCTGACAACTGGAATGTGGAGGAATGAAGTGTATATGCCTTGTGAGACTAAATCATAACAAGCATTTTGGCTTTCTCTTTGTTCTCTAGGATCACCGGCTCTACAGGCAGATACCATACCATGAAGATGTTCAAGCATCCTACAGAGAGCCGCAAGGTGGCCAAAAACAATGGGAGTGAGCCATCTTGCAATAAGATCCCCCTGCCCCAGGCAAGCTTTCAGAAGACAGTCCTGATTGATATTTTTACTGCAACCCCATAACAGACATTAAATCTACCTAGTTAAACTGCTCCTCAATTCCTGAGCACAGGAGCTGTGAGGTAATAAATAGTTCTTGAATCACTACATTTTGATGTTATGGTTCGCATTATTTACACAGTAAAAGATTATGAAAATGGTTTGTGTGATGGATATACTAAGTGCCAGAATTAAGGATAACAAAACAGAGAGAGAAAAATCGTGTATATTCCAGTTTTTCTTTGGTCTACAAAGGTACAATGGGTTAAGTAGAGGGATGAATTCAGCATGAATCTTCCAATTTCTGGCTTAAATGGAGAGGTACTGCTTACTGGGATGACTCAGGGAAGCAGGCAGTTGAAGTGGGCAAAGAGGGGTTAGGAGCAGGAGGACCAGAGATAAATGAACTCTGAACATTTTGAATTTGAGGTCCTATGAGGGATCTTGGGATGGTAGAAATAATGAACAACTAATGCATAAAAGACATATTTGACCAGAGGTAAGATATAAAAGCTATCAATGCATAGTTAATTAAAACTAAAGATGCAGATAAAATCTCCTAAAAAGAAATTGGAAGAGCTAAACATAGGCTGAGTCATCTTTCTTTGAGGAGACAGCAGATTTAACACTTTGCTCTTACTTGCACGTTGTATTTCTCTAAAAAAAGGAAGTCTACATAACTGACATACCATAGTATTTACATTGTATTATTATACAGAGTAGTCTTTCTAGGTGAGTAACAAAACATCCATTTGCTCAGTTTAGACCCCAAATCTTAAGTCTTTAATTAGCAGTTACTTCATCTTATTTTTATATCTATCCTAATGATTGGCCCAGTGGCTTGTACCTGGTGTTCAATAAATATTATTGAAATGACAACTGAGAGTAAAAACTTAATAGCTTTAGTATGTCAATATTCTCTGGAATAATGATGTTAACTCTAACACAATTAACTACAAGTTCAAGAAAAATTGAGGAAAAAAGTCATTCGATAAAGACTTACCGATCTGTTTGTAAAACATGGATAAGATGTTCCATAGCCTGGATTCCTACTTCCAAGCGGTATTTCTGCACATAAAAGAAGAAAAATGCTATTAAAAGAATTTATATCCAACTTAGAAACCTTAATAATTTATAAAATGTTACAGACCTTGGATAACGATTTGAGAGCACGCACAGCATTTCTTCGATCATCCAGTAAAGTAGATGAAGCTACTCGATCACAAAGCTTTTGAATCTATCATAGAAAAACAAAGTAGCATTAAGCAAATAAAAAGAAACCATGAAGTTTTGTTTCCCAAATTTATACTATCTAATTTCAGGGAAAGAAATCAGCATTGAGGAAGTGGTCTTTCACAAATCTAAACATTTATGTAGTATTGTCTCTTCACAGAGATCAGTTTTTCCACTGACTTAAAAAGTGGAAGGGGTGAAGAAGTAGCCAAATAACTCATGTAAGTTGAGGAATTAAGAGAAATCAGTGGTACAACAGAGCTTTGCACATGTGCCTATCACGACTGCTTAAACCAAAAAGGAGGCAAATTCCAACAGTGGTATGGGAGAAGACAGAAAGGTATTTCAAAATTTTAAAACAATTATTTACATCATAATTTTACTTGAACATTTTGACTACATATTTGAATAAGAAAAGTCAATACTGTACATTACAATTTAAAAATTTTAAGTATCTCAAAATCTATAAAGATGAAATGTTTCTATTTTAAAACAATAATTTGTTGGAATTAAAATTCAAACTGAATTTAAAAATAAACCTTGGAGAATTATTTACAATATGAAAAACCTGGACAAATGTTCATTGAAACATTAGAAAAAAAGCTAAATAAATTCCAATATATTCTCTGGTGGAATACTACAAAGCTATTCAAAATAATTAACTATACAGACATAAAAATGCCATGATACAATGAATTACTGAGGGAAGAAAAAGAAGTTGTAAAACTACATGTCAATTAGGACCCAATGAAGCAAAAGTACCAAGTTGTTTATAAAACTGCATTAAAAAAGAATTTGGAAATCTAGGACTGTAAAACTTCTGGAATTAAGCACAGGAGAAAAAGCTCTGTGACCTTTGTTTGGGCAAAGAATTCTCAGATGTACACTGCTTCCGCTATTTATAAGATGCCGTTAAGAAAGTGATAAACCACAAACCAGGTAAAAATATTTGAAAACACCTGATGAAGAATATATGTTTAACAACCACTGCAATGAGGATGGGGGGAGTGAATAATATCAAAATAAGTTATGTAAAAATAAACCACTATATTCAATTCTTTTTAGCTTGGTATTTTAAGCTATTACATTTTTTTGGGGGGGGGGGGTATGGTACAGGATGTGAACTCAGGGCCTCAACTTGCTAGGCAGGTGACCTGCCATTTGAGACACTCTACCAGCCCTTTTTTGTGTTTGTTATTTTTGAGATAAAGTCTTGAGAGCTATTTGTCTGGGCTGGCTTCTAGTTGCAATCCTCATCTGTCAGAGTAGCTAGGATCATAGGCATGAGCCATCAGTGCCCACTGTTAAGTTATTATATGTTCTTCAATGACTGTTCTTACAACGATTCTATACATGAGATTTTTGGCATATCACACAAATGTTTGCACCTCATGTATCTGAATTAATGGTATTTAAATACATGTAACAGTGTTTCCAAATTATATTTTGCAACTTACAGTGTACCAGAAAACAGTAACAGATTTTCTGTAACAGACCAGGTGGGAAACATAGGATTATATAAAACTAAAGTTTTCTGCAGTGTTGGCTTTCTAAGAGACTTTACTATGCTGATCTCCATTTCTCTACATTATAGACTAAGTATAATATAAAGCCTAGCCTCACTCTTCTTCTTAACTGCTCACATTTAGAAATGACTCTTGCACTGCACTTACCTCCATAATAATTACACTGAGTTTTCAAATAGAAATAATTATATATATTTGGCAGTACTGGGGTTTGAAATCAGGGCCTCAAACTTGTTAGGCAGGTACCCTACCACTTAAGCCATTCTGCCAGCCCTGTTTTTTTTTTTTAATGTTGGATATTTTCAAGGTAGGGTCTCGCAAACTATTTGCCCTAGTTGTCTTCAAACCTTGGTACTCCTGATCTCTGCCTCCTAAGTAGCAAGGATTACAAATGTAAGCCACCGGTGCCCATCTCTACTATAATGTTTTATGATTAGAAAAAAACTGCTTAACTATCTCTTGAAAACATGACTCTTATTTTCAATTTAAAGAATGTGAGTCAAAAATAGTTTTCCTGAATAGAACTGGGTATTGTACATCTTTTGTTAGTTTTTTCCAAAGGTAGTTTATAATTGATACTATGAATGGGAAACTGTTTCTAGGCATTTTCTGCTTCAGTTTAGCCTGAGATCTGAAATATTGTTTCTAGATATGGAATTTTTATCTCCTTTGAAGTACTTAGTTCTAAGACTATGCATGACTGAACTCCAGCTTCAGCTCCTTTTCGGTTGGTATAGGTGGATTTGTGTCAAAATATAAATTTCCTTATCTGGAAGTTTTTCAGTCATTATGTATTGAGTTTGGAAATATAAAAGCTATTTGATATTGGTGGGAAGTTTGGGGGTTTGTTTTATTCTCAGTCTTTGAGTTCTAAGCAAGCTAATATTTGAGCCTTGTTAATTTTTTAAAAAGCTGTGAAATACATAAACAAAACCTTAAACTCAACCATGAAGCTAAATACATGAAATTAAAATAGCAATGAGATTTTGTCTATTAGAGTCACAAATATTCAAAAATAATACTGCCACATACTAAGTGATTCCATTTCTATAAAATACAAAAATATGCAGAACCAAACTATGCTATTCGGAACAATTATAATAGTTATTCTTGGGTGTGGGCAGTGACTGAATGAATGAAGCACAAAAGAGGATTTCTGACATACTGGTTATGTTCAGTTCCTTAACCAGAGTTAAGAGTATGTTGAAGCTATGAAAATACACCGAGGTTTTCATATATGACAGGTACACTTTTCTATATTCTTCAGTAAAAAGGATTTTAATAGTACTCGGGCTGGAGATATAGTTCAGTGATAGATCACTTATTTAGCATGCATAGGGCCCTGGATTTGATCCCTAGAACACCCCCCCAAAAAATCTATTAAGGACAGAAAAAGATATAAATTAACGAGTCTGCTCATATTCTCAAGAGTGAAGGTAACCTAAGAAGGTGACAATTTGTCAAATGTTAAATCTAAAAATTTGGCCAGGTACTTCTACTTTAGCAACTTAGCCTTTAAAAACCCACCCACGCTATATCCTTTGTAGCAATACTAATAGTTTAAAAAGAAATCAAAGTGTTCACCCATAAATCAGAGAACTAAACTACTGCACATTCATTTTGCACCTGATAAATGAATGAAGCAGATTCCTATGTTCTGTCATGACAAGATGTCCAAGACATTAAGTTAAAAAAAAACACACTGAGGACTGGGGTACATGTAGCCCCATAGTAGAGTGCCTCCCTAGCATTAGGAGGCCCTGGGCTCAATCCTCAGCATTGGAAAAAACAAAACAAAACGCTATTGTATATGAAGCAGGAGCTTATTTTGGTTTAAAACTGTAACACTTAAGCTGTATGAATCTGCACGGAAAAAAATTCAGACTATATACCATATTGTTTTTTGGTGGGCTGCTAAAGTGTTCACTTTTTACATTATTTCTGACACATCTGTCTTTTGATAATGAACAGGTATTACTTGTGTGTGTGTGTGTGTGTGTTGGGAATCAAATCCAGGGACTCATGCACACTAAGCACATACTTTACCACCAATTTAGACACTCCCCACCCCCAACCCAGGTATTTTGTGGACAAAAAAGACTTGTTATGAAATAAAGTGGGTTTTAAAAAATTTCCTTTATTCATATGTGCATACAATGATTGGGTCATTACTTCCCCCTTCCCTAAAGTGGTTTTCTGATTTATTGGAGTTCCTAGGATGGTCTCATGGCTAACTTAACTCATCTTTTTAAGATGCTACCTTCATTCTTATGCTCAAAACAAAATGCAATCAGCTATTGGTAAAAATAAGTTACCACAACAAAAATATCCTCAATTGGCTCCCACTGCCTAAAGGATAAAGTCCAATTTGTAGACTAGAATGTACAGCCATTAAACACATATTGAGCCAGGTGCCAGTGGCTCATGTCTGCAATTCTAGCTACTCAGGAGGCAGAGAACAGGAGGATCGTGGTTTAAAGCCAGCCCGAGCAAATAGTTCCACGAGACCCTATCTTGAAAAACCCTTCACAAAAATAGGGCTGGTAGAGTGGCTCAAGGTGAAGGCCCTGAAATCAAGCCCCAGTACTGCCAAACACACAACACAAGTGCACATTACACATGTATTTGTTCTTATGCTAACCAAAGTAAAATATGGTCACAATGAGCTTGTTCAAGCAGCCAGCCATATAAATAGTTACAAATATGTATTCTTTAAGCATAAAAAAGTAGTCAATTCTCTATGGAAGTAAAACTGTTTAAGAATGACATATTGCTCAGCATCAGTGGCTCATGCCTATGATCCTAGCTACTTTGGAGGCTGAGATTGGGAGAATTGTGTTTTGAGGCCAGCCTGAGCAAATAGCTCATGAGACCCCTCCATCTCCAAAATAATCAAGAGCAAAATAGACTGGAGGTATGACTCAAGCAGTAGAGTGCATGCTTTGTGAGCATGAAGCCCTGAGTTCAAACCCCAGTCCCACCAAAATAAATAAATAAAAATGGTATATTAATCTTGAATCAAGAAGGAACATAAGTAATGAGTTAAAGGGTACATCCTTCACCAAACTACATGGGGATGGACTTCCAGGGACAGAAAACAATTTATTTCATAATTGTTTACACATTTTTAAATTTAGAAAATAGCATTTCACAGAGTAAGAGAACTTATCTATGAGATTTTGAACTTTATATGAATCAGTTTATATATTTTCACACACACATATATGTTCTACTGAAGTTAATACACCAAAGGAGAACCTTTTAAAATATGAAAACTGTCCTCTTTTTTTGTTTTTGGTGGTATGAAGCTTTGAACCTGTCTAGGCTTGCTAGACAGGTGCTCTATCACTTCAGCCCATACCTCCAGCCCGAAAACGTTCCCTTTTATAATAATTTTAGGGGAGAGGTCTTTTTTTTTTTTTTTTTTGTCTTTTCTTTTTTTGGTGCTGGGATCGAACCCAGGGCCTCACGCATGCTA